AAAGGTCATTCGGGATTGCGGGGTCGGAAAACGGTCGCGGTTGATATTCAGCTTCTCCTTAATCTGGGAGGAGAATCGGCGGAGATCCTTCCGGTCCCCTTCAAACTTGTCAGGGTCGGGAAGGCGTTCAGATCGTACGTGGGAGCCGGAAGATTCAGGAGTAAGCGACGGAGGCGTTCCCATAGCAGCAGCTACACCAGGCTCAGCGGCAGGTTCAGGGACAGGGGGAGGTACGGTATTCCCCGTCGGGATAGCGAGTTCGGCTGCACACATTCGTGCAGCCTCGATACGGGCAATGTTCTGTTGCGCTTCGTCATAAAGCTTCTTCTGGTATTCCATGAACGCGACATCTCGGAGGTGATCACGCTCAGCTGCGGTCAGTTCGCTTGACAGGCGGGTGATCTTGATCCTCGCGGCTTGTAGCTGCAGTTCGGCTTGGTCCACTCGTTCGCGAGCGTTGGTCGCCTCGGACTGGGTACTCTCAATGTAGTCGTACGCACGGCGGCAGTATTCGAACCATTGGTCAGGATGGTCTCTCGCGTGTTCGACGAATTGTTCTAGATCGCTGGGCAGGAACGGAGGTTGCGGGGCTGGTTCAGACATCTTCAGACAGTCAACTCCTAGGGGTGGGAGCTACGTAGTGTCAGGGTGCGGGCTGGCAGGACGGTATGATAGGAGAGGACTGGTAGGAACAGGTCGTAACAGATCAGATTCCCATTGACAGGTACAGGCAGGGGCAGGCTATTATACAAGACGTAGCTCGAAGAGCTACAACAGGATCTAGAACTGAAGTTCAGATAAACAGGTCGGAGATCACGTGCCGTGATCTTCCTCTAACTAAGCATCACGGTTCGCACCTTGACATCTCGCAGGTTTCTTTCTTTCTTTCTTTCTTCTTCTTTCTCTGCACTTAGTACTCTTGTTGTAATGCACTCTTTTGTTTAAATAACTGGCTGGTAATAACAGTAACATTTTTTCTTTCTTAATTAAACGATTCCGGGCTTATAACTAATAGAAATCTAACTATATAAAATGTATTGGCTAAAAGAATAGGTAAAAAATTCTCTAACTAACTAAAAATGATAAAATCTCCTATTAAATAATCTATATAGGATCTAAATGATTATAGAATAGCCGAATCCACCGAGGTTATATATGGTTTCCACCATGTAGTATAACCTGGTATTCTGATATCTATCTATATCTACTCTAGGTGACGCTGTAAGGTAAAATATGGGAAAGCCAATACACCTTGCACATTGTTAGATAACGGCGTAGATTTAAATCAGATTGCCATGCCCTTGTCTTCAGCTGACTTCAAGCTCTCATAACACTGACATATGTTTAGTCCGGGATACTCTCTTGATCCATCAGTATTCCGTTCAAAGGAACAGCTGTTGAGCAAGTTCCGGACTAGACTTCATCAGTCACTGGCACTGCGTATGTAGAGCAATCCCTACCGTCACAATAACAGCCAGGATAGTTGTTGTCATTCTAGGTTTCACTCACGCTGCTACCTCTATCGACGAAACAAAATAGCGAGATTTATTCTATTTGATCAAATCGATCGCTATGAAGATTCCGGGAAGAAACATGGGTGGGATGTATTTGTCTTGGAGGGCTCTTAGAACCCGATGTGCCGGCGCCAACAATGACAGCAGTCGCACTAGTGAAGTCTTTGTTTCTCACAGGGAGACGTATGCATGCTACTTGATACCAGAATTCTGAATGACAACGACAACTCATCATTCGAGAGCTGACAAGTAAATCATAGGCAGCCCAGAGTATAACCAAAAGTACCCCTCAAGCTCGCCGAACAATAGTAATACTTCTTGTTCAATCACCGGGATTACCAAGGCCAAATTGTCCTTGGCCTATGCATGTTTTGTGCAACTCTTATCACAGAGAATGCACGAGCGGCAAGCAATCACCCGCAGCTACTCTATGCCCTGATTTTTTTTTGGCATTTTATACAGTTGGTAGTAAATTTGGAAGGCATGCAAGGCCTTGTCTGCTCACTGAAAGCTGAAATCAACGACAAAAAAATAATGATGCAAGTTCCGAAGTTTTGTGAAGTGCGGGGAAGCTGTGTACCGAGGTGTCTGGCATTTCCGCGACGATTAGCCTGTTGCAAGCTACGTAATCTTCTCGTGCTAGCCCTGGATATCCTCCAGAATAATCAAGGGAGTTCTATTCCTTCTTTCTCTGCCGTCCGTAAGATGTATTGCTTGACCTGGACAAATGGATTATAGATTAGCCATTCTGTGGATACCTAATTCTGAGGGGCTTACCTTGTCATCTGGAACTAGCTCAATCGCTAGTTTACCGTCACTATCTCTCTTTTCCGCTTCCGCTCCAGATTTTAACAATAATATAGCGGCGGGTCCATGTCCCTCAGAGATAGCGTGGTGAAGTGCCGTGAAACCGTCCCCATCCGTTGCATTGACAGGACTCTTACCATCTTCCAAGAGAGTTTTCAAGATGGGCACAGATCCCACTGCAGCTGCTCTGTGTAGGGGAAGTTGGCCACGTTTATCCTTGACTCTCGCGCTACATTTGTTGGCAAGCAAGGTGCGGACGGTGGAAATATTAGCCTTGGAACTCGCGAAGTGTAGCGCATTCTGCTAGAAAGTAAGTCCATATACACCCAGTTAAAAGGTCGTTAGCTTGGAAGGCTGACCTGTCCAGTGTTGCTTTTGATAGAGACATCAGCTCCTTTGCGCAGTAATAGGTCGATCGTTGCGTCGCCTGCAGCGTCTTTTAGGCTCGCTGCAATCATAAGAGGCGTCCAACCAGATCCATCCTATGGTGATTTAGCAAGATTATAAAACAGGACTAGTTAATTTTGAGAGCTCAAGGGAAACTCTCTTCGAAAATAGAATCGTGATTACTCACTTCTACATCTGGGTCGAAATCCTTCATAGCGACTAGCAATTCCACGACCGATACTCGATTGTAGGCCGCAGCCCAGTGGATTGGAAGACGCTCATCATCGTCTTTCACGAATGCAGATTTTGGGTTTGCCTGTTTCAAAAATTAGCTTTGTTTTTGGAGGACCGAAACGGCACCAGAGCCAGCTTGTTCTTGCGGGGCAGCCTCGGCCCCAGGTGGAGCACAACTCACGTTGAGCAACGATTCAACAACCTCGTCTAAAGAGGTAGATTAGTAAATTTTACCATGCTGAGAAGAGTCAAGCTCTTACTTCTTCCTTCTCGGGCAGCCTCGTGCAGGGCGAACTTCTGATCGGAATCCATGGTGACTTTAGTGGAGGAAGGGTGATATTGAGATAAGAGCTGCGATAAGCTGTGTACTGCTGAGTCAGCAATTTTGAGCGCTCTCCAACCTCACCGCCCTTTTTGTGCCGGTTATCATGTTGGTCAATTGTGGCGCCTGAGGCACAAACATCCGTTGCAACTTCGATCCAAAGATTCATGCACGTCCTTGTACCAACTTCAACAAAATCTTGCCTCGCAGCCGCTAGAGACGCAGTGTCGGTCTTTAATCAACTGCGCTTCTCAAACCTGTGCCCAGACCGAACCTCCGGACTCGATTGCAGTCACGAACCTGTCGTAGGCTTTTCTTCGTCGCGCGTTCCATCGGATCCTGAATCTTTGGAGCTCTTGTCCTTCGAAACACACCACTTTACATTCTTCCCAAATCGCTTTCTTGCGCATACAAAATGGATTACATCCCACCCCATTCCGCCAATGACGCTGTGCGCATGTCCGCAAAGCGTACCGCCGAGCTCTTTGGTGCCGAATACCTGATGGTCACACCCTCAACTCTGACCGACGGTTCGATCGGTGTTTCATACAGACGGAAGGCAGAGTATGAAGATATTATCGAGCTACCCCGAGCTCTTGCAGAGAAACAGGCGAAGGCTACAGCCGGCCGGACAAAACGGCCGAAGATTCAGGCGCAGAAACCCGCAGACGGTAGTGGCTCTTCCATGTCACTCGTGAGGCGGCCATCAGGCACAGGAGCGGGGGCGGCTGGTGTTGGGGAGCAGCCTACAAGTTTGATCCAGAGGCCGTCGGCTACCAAGCAACAGCGACCCGAGTGGCACGCGCCTTGGAAGCTGATGCGCGTCATTTCAGGACACCTGGGATGGGTGCGAGCTTTGGCAGTGGAGCCGAACAACCAGTGGTTTGCTAGTGGAGCAGGAGATCGGACAATCAAGATTTGGAATTTGGCGACGGGTGCATTACGACTCACTCTCACCGGTCACATCTCCACCGTCCGTGGCTTGGCAGTCTCACCCCGGCATCCGTACCTTTTCTCGTGCGGTGAAGATAAGATGGTTAAATGTTGGGATCTGGAAACCAATAAAGTCATTCGACACTACCATGGTCACCTCAGCGGTGTTTATACACTGGCCCTTCACCCTCGTCTCGATCTGTTAGTCACGGGTGGTCGTGACGGCGTGTGCCGAGTCTGGGATATGCGAACGCGAAGCAACGTGCATGTTCTTGGCGGGCACAAGGGCACTGTCGCCGACATCAAATGCCAAGATGCCGACCCTCAGATTATTTCCGGCTCGCTGGACTCCACAGTTCGGCTGTGGGATTTGGCCGCTGGTAAGAGCATGGGCGTTCTGACGCACCACAAGAAGGGTGTTCGCAACCTCGCCATTCACCCCACCGAGTTTACATTTGCCAGTGCTAGTACCGGCAGCATCAAACAGTGGATGTGCCCCAAGGGCGATTTCATGCAAAACTTCGACGGCCAAAACTCTGTCATCAACTCTCTTGCCGTCAACGACGAGAATGTTCTCTTCTCTGGCGGCGACGATGGTTCCATGTCCTTCTGGGATTGGAAGACTGGTCACCGCTTTCAATCTTTGGAAACTACCGCACAGCCCGGCTCTCTTGAAGCCGAAGCCGGCATCATGGCTTCTACCTTTGACCGTACTGGTTTGCGTCTTATTACGGGCGAAGCTGATAAGACCATCAAGATTTGGAAGCAAGACGAAGAGGCTACCCCTGAGACGCACCCTCTGACTTGGGCCCCGACTCTCGGGAGACAGCGGTACTAGAGGGATGACCAGCACAACTGGCATTTGTATTCTCTGTTCCGGTTTCTCAATACCCTGTATTCTTTTTCGTTTTTGGCCATCTTCTTGTTGGCACTGTGTGGAGTTAAGCGCGGTCTTTCGAAGGCCCTTCATTTTAAACTATTCAAACATGTATCGGGAAGAATTTCCTCGGAAAGGTTCGCTTTATTTCTCTGATAAAAGAGCCCTGACGTTTTGTGTGATACAAACCCCAATTGAGCCAAATGATACCCCTGGCAATCCACCTAGATAGACAACATGTACAAGTAGCCATTACAATCTAGAGCGCAAGACACAGCTCGACTGAAAGGGTATCATATGCAAACTATTGTGCGATAGTAAACTAACTCCAGATAATGCGTATCGTATCAAAACATCCAAAAGAAAATTCCTCACCATCACTGCTCGGTACCCAAACCAAAGCCTTTAGCCTCAGCATCGTCCCTGAAAGCTGACCTGACATCTTCGGCCGCAACCCTCAGCCGAACTTTACTACTGCGGTCACCGCGAGTGGGAATCGTAGTACCCCCCAGCACGCCTTTCGAGCTAGATCCTTGCTCCAGCGCCAGGATACCCGAGTTCATGAGTGACATGGCCGCATGACCCAGACTCCGCACGCGAGCACTGGGGCCTCCACCAAGCAAGAAATCTTTCACGCCAGCGCCAGCGGCTCCAGCAACGGCTACGGCTGCATCGGCGATGCGACGGGCTTCATCAAGGACGTCGCCGAATGTAGATTCCGAAAGTCCTGTCCGGTGAACGCGGGCCAAGAGAGCGGCGAGGAAGAGCTTTCCTGATAGCGGGAGACAGCGCAAGGATTGCTGGAGTGGAGTTGATGTAGCTTCGTGAATGGCTTGCTTGATAGTGGCGATGGTGACGCGCCCCGGTTGGCCCTTCGTAGGAAGTTTAGCGACAGCTGATTCCCCGGCTGCTTTGGCTGTGATAGCCTTGTTACGCCGGGCGGAAGTTTTGCTGGGTGTTGGAGGCATTGATTCTGTCTCGTCTTTTGCCTCATCTGCGGCAGCGACCTCGTCGGCTGCTTGCTCGGCGATTTCAACGGCTCGACGGCAGATGTCCAAAGCTCGTCGGGCATCACCGCTGACGGCGGCTACTTTGCGACTTGCGAATTGGACGGCGTCTGGGTCAACGATATTGCCCGGCACACTGGCCAAGCGGGTACTGATAATTTCCATCAGATCTGTGTGACGGTATCCTGGAAATGTGATACGGGTTAAACCGAGGCGACTGGAGATCTTATTGCTTAAGGTTCTTTCAGGAAGATCCATGGTGTTTGCGACCGCCAGGACAATGAGGCGCGAGTGGCGGAGAGCAGGCCAGTTGAAGAAATTGTACATGACGGACTGGTTCTTTGTGACAAGCTGATCCAACTCATCCATGAGCACAACACAAGAAACTCGGCGAGGGGAGGGATTTGAGAATTCTCTTTCAAGAAGATCCAGTGCGTGGGAAGGTGAGACTCGGTCGCCCTTCAAGGCTTCCCATAGTAATGAGTAAGATTGATGCGGATCGGTGACTTTCATGCCGTTAATCTCGACAAAGATGAAATCATCCATCTCTTCTTCATGCACAGCACCGTTTAGCTGCGCAACTACCTCACGCACCGTGGCAGTCTTGCCAGTGCCTGGGGTACCGGAAATGTAGATACAAGCGCCTGTGCCCTCCATAATCGCAGCGCTAAGATGGTTGTACACAGTGTTGAACTCGGTCTTCCGGCACGGTAATGAGTCTGGAACAGTGGAGACGTGTAGCAAATTCCGAGCTTGACGGTAGGGAGAGTCGAAATGTGTGGGTGAGAGGACACGGGTACCCAGAGGAGTGAATTCAAGTGGTTTTTTCACAATGATCCTGAGATAAGTCAGTCCTATTAAATGAGGAAAAATTTTCGCCGTTTCCTACCGTTTATGAGTCGGAGTCATCAGTGCCCTCTTACGCTGTGATTGCGGCGTTGCATTGGTTGCTGCTAGTCGCTGCCTTTTTCTCGGGGTTGTAGGAGCTGTGGTCTCTTTAGTATCAACATACTGCGATACCTCTAATCAGCACTGCTTTTGCAATTTAGACCATGTGGTTCACCTTACTTCATCGTCCGCAGCCTTGCGTTTTCTGGAAGACTTCAAGCCATCCCTGACACAATTGATCAGATGGTGAATGTTGTCTTTATTGTAGACCTGCTCCCAGATAAACTCATCGGTATAGCGTCCTTGAACTTGGTTTACGCCTCGTCGACAAACAATACACTTGTTGTATTCCGTCAATTCGGTCTTGTTCTTTGGAGGGCCGTTGGGGTATTTGGCACTGAAGGCGCTCTGCGACATGACTGCCCCTTTGCCGCTGATTGATGTCAAAGGGTTGCTGTTGAAATCGAGTGTGATGTACTGTTCGTTGGGCAAGGCGTCGGTCCGGCACTTGTTCCTCGTGCCCATGAATTCGCCGGGAGATGCAAACCACATAATATGGGCAGATTTGACAATCTCGTCTTCTTCGTTTTCGTCTTCTTCTTCCAAAAATTCTGTAATAATGCCAACCCAGTCCTTTCCAGCTTCAGGGGACTTCAAGAGTATCACATCGCCCACTTTGCATTGGAATTGACCCATCTTCGCGCCAACGATTTTCCGTTTTTGGCGGGCGGGACGAACAGACCGTCTTCGGCTGCGTTTTGCCGGGGTATCATCCTTAGTCTCGGGTTCCTGAATAGTCTCTTCACTTGTGTCGTAAATCCAGTCCCACGGAAGGTCTTCGACGCCTAGCTCATCATCGGAATCGTCTCGAACTAGAGCTCCCTTGGTCATCCATTGGGCATGCTCACGAGCACTGCGCCTCTGAGGCAAAGAGTCTGAATCGCTGTCGCTCATTGGGGGTGCGAGAGATGTGACCGGGCAGAACATGCAACGGAGAAAGAGAAATCGCGCTTGACGCGTTGTCCACTTTCGCCCCTTTTAGGCTTAGTCCTGTAATGAGATCTGGCCAATCAAATCCATCTGCCTCCATCAAGATTTGTGTGCGGAGTACGGAGTACCACGATTGGTGTCTAAACTGCACAATTAGTTCAAAATTGACCAGTTAACTAACTAAATACATGTAGGTGTACAACATATAGGTGCAATGTTCTTTCAACTGGTTTTCGACACCTCAATTCTGCCTAGTTATCTGTTCTAGCTCTTGCTTCAAAGACGTCATGGAACTGATCAGTGTCTACTATCCATATGTTTCTATCTAATGATTATGACAAGTCATGTTGTAAATTTGATCTTCTCACCTAGTTAACAACTTCGTTCTCCCATATTCTAAAAACGCTCTCTTGAGTAGTATGGGTTGCAATCTGCTCTTTGTGCTCTTCTAGATATGGAGGTTTAATGCTTTAACAATTAACGCCCTAGACACTTCTAAGCACTTTTAGAAGTTAAATTGTAGTTAAATTTTATTTGACATGGCACCAATTCTCTGGTTGGTTTGAAATGTATATTAGATTGGTGAAAATGAGAAGATTACACATGCCGGACGCTTTGAAGATTGCGGAACAGACCAACCGGACAAACCGGAACAACAGTAATCCGGAGCCCTAACGTCCAACACATCTCAGCACGGAATAGACCAGATCTATATCCATCCAGCTAGATTCGTTTAAACTCGATTTCTTATCACCATAGCCGGGTCAACTCACACACCTCACTTATCCTCCACAGTCAATCACTGAGCCAGGTCCGTGATTAATCGCGGGAAAATTAATATCTGGGTGCCTTGATCCATAAATATCTTCTCATTATGTGGAGATAGTCAACCGTTAGACTAGTTCCATGCTCTATAAGCAGCTCTAGGCTGCATGAGTGGACAATCTACCTCTAGCTACCCAAGTAGGTCTACAGTACGTGCTACGTACATATGTCATCAATCTCCGCGGTTCAACCAAGGCAAGAATAGATGAATGCTCTTGCTCTTTGATTAATGCACGCTACAATCCAACCTCATCTCCCTAATTCTACTCTCTACCGAATTGACTCAGTTTCCCGACACATCGGCTCTCCAGGTTCTGATCCTTCATCTTGTTTTTACTTTCCACCTGGCCTACCTTCCTTACGTTGCGCACCCAGTCGCCCCCAGCAATTGATTGATATGTAATTCTGTCACAATTTTATTGAGCAGACGTGGATTCATACGCCTTCTTTTCCTTCACTTGCTCGTTTGATATCCCTGAGACCGCTGTGTTGCGCTCTCTTGACTTCGCTTATTCCATACTATCCATCCCGTGAGACATTGCTCTCGTCATCGAACACCTGTGGCCGTTGGATTCCGCCGAAATGGAGCCTGTGCCCCAGTCTTACGAGAATGAGTAAGTATATCTCGTGTACAGATACTTGTGCAAGTACGTTCCGCTAATAAATTCCGCTAGCTGGGAGCGTTTCAATGCCAAATGTGAGAGATGACCAAGTTTCAAATATGGTTGTACATACTGACTTGGCTAGCATGGGAACTGCCCAACTACGGCCCCGGTCCAGACTTTGACCGGGGGACCATCTACCGCCAGGACTCTGACGACTGGGCGGGATATAAAGGTCCTGATTATCATGTCGAGGATGATTTGGAGGATGTGAATTATGATTCCCCTGCTGTTGACTATCCGCCGCAACCCACAACTACAAAGGGGCCCGTAACTGGTCCGTCTCCCCCAATTGTACCTCCTGTGCTCTCAAAATCGCCAATTCCAAGTCAAAGCACTTTTCCAACCCAGGCAGTTATAACTGGACCCATTACTGGACCCAGAGCAGGTCATTCTCAGGCACAAGAAGGGCCAATACTCAATGAGCATGAGCCCCAAACGAGCAGTTCCCAAATGTTCGCCCGACAGCCACATCACCCGGCACTTGATCTCAAATTGGGCCAACATCCCCCTGTCAGAGGGGGCCATTCTGGCCGATCGCGATCACGGGGTCAGCCCAAAAAAGGCAGTAATAATTCAAGTCCTTCGCAACACAGACCTAATTATCTATCTATCGCACCAGGGCAAAATGACTCTTATTCCAAGGCAAAGTGGCGCAAGGGCTTTTCTCCAGATGGTAAGCTTTCTCACATCAACGTAAAGTCCATCATTAACAGTCAAATAGCTTCTTATCGTTTGCCTTACGAGTGTCAAGTATTTCAAGCAAAGTGAGTATGTGAAGCCTTGTAGGCTTTGGTCTTAGAACTGACGCAGACAATGAAGAATCAGGCAAGTGACTTCCGGAGAAACTTCCAGCATCGACTTCCGCCAAACAATTATCGAGGCTACTGGTGCCTATGTGAGGATAAGTGCAGGAAATGCCAAAGTTAGTTGCAAGCTAAAATTACTCCACACGTGAGGGACTGAACATACTGATGACCTAAAGCTGGTGCACATCTGGGGCCAGCGAAATCAGGTTTTGGCGGCCCAGAACATGCTTCAGGGTATGTTGAATCGGTTAATGCAGCAGTTCGCTTTGCCTAAAGCATCACGCTGGGCCAAGATACATGCGCACTCAAATACGAAGGTTGCCCATGCCCGGTCGCAGGAATACCACGACGAAAGATTATCCGAGATGCGAAAGCCACCTAGAATTGTCGCGGATTATACTGTATGGATAAGCTACTGCCAGCCCTAGTTTGTTCTGGTACCTTATAGAGGCTAACTGACCCTTGACACTACAGCTTGCGTTCCTTTGGCCTTCGGATGGCCCCTCACTAAGCTACTTTATTACTGCCCAACGCGAGCTCCTCGATTTCATTCGCTTGAAATATGACGCGAAAATCTACATCAAGCCTGGTATTCCAGACTGCCTTTTCATGTCTGGGAGTGATGAGCGGGACATGTACATCATTGCAGCTCGATTCCGGGAGCTGTGGGAAAGGCTAATGGTCCAGCACGAGACGGAAATCAGGCTGTTCCTTGTTGCGGCACCCCGGACAGAGCTTATGAGAACCCACGTCATCCTACAAAAGTTTGGTCAGCTCTCAAGACCTGCTCTCTGCGGACCACAATTGGCCCCAGACGTAGCGGCAACCTGGATGACCACTGCGGAAGAGATCAAGGCTAAGAATAGGAGCATTGTTACCACCGGCCTTAGGGAAGCACTGAATGTGATTCCTCAATTTCGAGGATTCCTGCAAATGCGAGCAAAGTTCGGTTCGTTCGCGCTACAACAGTGGCGCAGGCCGAAAGATGGCATTTCGTATGAGTTCTCAGAGTTTCACGAGATGCTTACCCATACAAACACTGAAGGGCGTTTGGTTCCGGGGTATGTTGTAACCTCCACCGGAATCTGACGGTTTGCTGACCGCTTTTTCCTTTAGAATCCGATTGCAGCAAGATGAGATCTTCGATCGAATCATGAAATCAGACTTTCTTAAGCCCTGGGGAAACGCCAAAACTAAATCTCTCTTGAGCCTGATGCCTAGATATTCCGCCAACTTTGAGTATCAGGTGAACAATGATTTGGTGATCCACGTCGAAGCAAAATTTTCGCTTCCTCTTGGCTCCCAGGAGTTTGAAGTCAACGGAATCCGCTGTTTCAGATCAAAACAGATTGGTGCTCCTGTTGATCATCAGACGCCAATCCAGATCAGCATGATTGACTTTGAAAGGTTTGTTTACCCTAGATCTTTTTGAGTTTTGACTAGAAGCTGAGGTTATATCTAGGTCCGACTGGCAACTCGAGGTGAAGGCTTTTGAACTCTGCCCTGAAAGGGAGATGCCCCCCGAGCTAGATAAATTCATGCGTTCAATAAGTTTCCAATGGAACCCAAATGCAAAGAGCATTGGATGTGCCCCTCAGCGCAAGGCGAGGTTCTCCTATGGTTTGCCAGTGAAGAGATTTGTTGAAAAGGCCTCAATTCAGCTCCAAGTCAAAAGTTCACCGCATGTATTCGAGCTCGCCCGATTCGACGAGTACATTTACGCGGCTGGTCACTGGCCGATTACCCCGAAAGTCTCCTGGGGTGCATGGCTGTTCAATCCTATTTGGGATGATATACTGTGTGAACAGGCTGATCTGGAAATTTCTAAAGATGGGTGTCTGTCGGTGTTTTTTCCCCCACTGGGGGATGATCAGGAGCAGAAGGACAGACAGAAACCGGTCGATGAGATCCGCAAGAATGCCGAAATCCGAAAGATAGACGAGGAGAAGCAGCTGGGTGCTTTCATGAGCGTTGTCCAGCAGACTGCGCGGATGCTGGCGAATTCAGACACTGAAATGCCTGAGGTCCTCGAGATCGATCTTGGAAGTCTGTTCTAGTGGATGTCAGGAAATCGGCTCAAAGTTTTCACTCCCCATGGGACCATAAGGGACAACTCAAAGGAAAAGCAAATGGAACAAGAAAACCAAAGTTTGAAAAAAAAAGCCCTCCAAAAGTATCAATATCGTCTGGCTTGCTTATCAAGCCGAGATCATTAGGAATGTAGCAATAATAGTTCCAATTCAAGTAAGTTATTGAAATTATTCCCGGTTCCCAATATTAGAAAGCTCATTTAGCCCTCGATTCGGGTTTTCTTCAAGTTCTTTTTCTTATACTTCATCTCCATTTTGCTTGTTTCAATACGGTGAGATAGAACCCCGGTATGTGATTTCGATTTCTCTATGGTAGCTCGGCTCGACCTATTCGTGAGACGGAGGTCGAGTTTAGCCCGTGGCGGCTTGAGGAGCACCTTCTGCGAGCATCTTCTGCCTCAATGCTGTAGGAGATGGGTAGGTTAGCACACGACAAAAAAGGACCCCCCAAGGCAATACAATTCCCGCCTCCCATTATCCAAAAAAGAATTCCACTTACTCTCTTCCACAATACGCAGTTGCGAGCTCTTGGCCTGTACGATCTTCTCCAACTCCTGCAGGTTTGCCTCCAAGCCCTTGACCTTATCTTCATAGAACGCAACCGCCTTAGAAGCAGTCTGGAAACACACCAATTGTCAGCCCGACCAAACCATTCACCGATGTTCCTAGGCATATCCCCGCCGCCACATACCTTCTCGACATAAAATCCAGTTCCGACATCAACAAGCACCTTCTCGCGATCCGTCAAGCGGCCCTTGACGTACAGCGAGCTAGTGAGGGGCACGAGGATCTCATCGCGGCCAGCGGTTCCCTTCTTCTCGTTCCCGGTCACGCCATCATTGATCGATCGCACACAGTCGCGGAACTTGGCCTGCGCGGCGCGTAGCTTCGTGTGAGAGGTGGTTAGGTGTTCCAATTCGGAGGTGAGGCGGGTTTGGAGGGCGCGGAGCTGAGGAATAGAAAGAGAGGCAAGGTTGACTGGTTGCGGGTGGTTAGCTGGGAATTTATCTCCATACCATACGGAAAGCTGAAAGCCGGTGCCGTAGTGCTGTGTTGGTGTTGGGGGGGGGGGGGTCAGAGACGCACCTGAGCCTTGGGGAGCTCCGTCTGAGGATGGGGCGTTTTGTGACATTTTAAAATTCGGGAGAAAGAATGTGGTGTTTTGGGGATCGATTTCCGGATCGGGAGCTTTGTTATTGTAGATCAGGTCGTCGCATTGGGACTGTATAGGTGCATAGGTGGTGGGGGGGGGGCGCTTGAGAAAACTCCTGGGTCCAATGCGTGGCCATAGTGGAGATAGTGGCGGGGTGGACTTATACACACGCACCTGACCACCTCACCTCACTTTCCTTGCACAGACCATTTTTGGACAAGAAATTATTGAGCCTAGAGCCCCACATTTTGTTATACCCACTGACTCAGAGAGAAAAATAAGCTGTCAGTATGTAATTTATATAGTTCTACGAGTACATAGCCATGACTCTGCGTAGGTAGAATGTTATCTGCGGGGAACATCAAGTCATTCCGAAGATTCTTAGTTCTCCGCTCCGCTCCGTAATCCTTCTTTACCACGTATCTATGGCTTCAAGACTGGCAGCATGTGAAGCTTGCAGAAAAGCAAAAGTTGCCTGTGATCATAAACGACCGGCATGTACTCGGTGTGCAAGTCACGATAGAGCTGCAATTTGCATTTACCGGACAACGCCATTCAAGAGAAGAAGAGTGGAGAGCTCTACACCTCTGCAGTCTCCTAGGTGTGTACTATGTGATTCATAAATTTAATTCTCTTATTTTCACATGCTTATCAAATTTGAAGTCGGCTACCTGCGGCCCAACCATCCTTCACTCCAAGGAATAGTCCATATCCAAACCCCGGCTTTCTGGGGTCCTCCAGCCATGTCGCTATTTTCAATGAAATTTCCCCACAAGACTACCATACATCGGATAATTATCATGCCTCCGAGGAGATGACGATGATGATGCATTCCCAGTCCACTGGCGAGAATATCTTGTTAATCCAAGGGGCGGATGTCCTCAGACAGCTGTTGAACACCTTCCCTCTAGCCGCCATGAAGGATTTTGTTACTTTTTGGCTGGCAACAGGAGCCAATCTAGCCCTGGCAGAGCCTTTTACCGAGAAGTGTACTGAAAACATGACGTACCTGTTCACATCTTTCTCACAAGATGATAACTGGCATTTGGCCTATGCCCAACGTTTAACCCAAAATTCCCGAGAACCTTTGCAGTTTAGCAGCACATCTGATATGGAAACTTTTTCTGCCCAGTTCCTCGATCAGAAATTCCGATGGGAAAGTCTAGGTATATTCCTCTCTGCTGTGAGCCGAGCAGCGATCGATATATCATTCTTCCCGCCATTGTTCAAGACTGAAAAAGATCAGTTCACTCTTCGGAAGCTATCTACAAAACTAAGTGATCTTGCGTTAGACATTGCGCTGTCGCTGGATTGCTTAAACGACCTACAACTTGTTTTACAATATGAAAACTTTATAGTCCACACTCATGTTGATGGGGACCAAAGTAAGAATCTCGTTTAAAATTTTTTTAATCTGTTGAGAACCGCAACTCATCACGAATTCCAGGCTACCATTCGTGGACCAGACTTGGAGATGTTGTGTCGTCCATGTTTGCACTTGGCTACCATGAGAACGTCGAAAAGACCAAGCCACCAATCCCGGCTTTTCTTTCGGAATTACGAAAGACAGCTTGGGCCACCACATACTCGGCGGACAAGAATGTGGCTATATTCCTTGGTCGCCCACCTCGGATGAGCAAGCGGTTCTGCCACTTTCAAGTACCTCTGACCCCGACAAGCTCAGATCAGGCTTGGGACACCTCACACGTTGAGGACGAGGTTGTCAGATGGAACAAAGAGACACCAATCTGTTATAGATCAAGTATTCGGTGGGCGACTCTTTGCTCCGCCCTGAAAGAAGATGTCCTTGAACTGCTCCGATCGAAGCAGCGCGAGAATTTCAATCGGAAAGCTAGGTAAGCTGGAGCTCTCAAAAATGAGATGCCCTGGCTCACTCTAGTGTGTTTGACATAGCATCATCCGGCAAAAAGCTGAAACTCAATGGGCAAACCTACCTCCTCGATTCCGACTTTCGGGAACTTTGAAAGAATGCACTGGGGATGCGTTCGAACGCGACCTTCTCGCTAGCATACGCCTGGACCAACTGCATGTTCTCTTTCTACTTCAACTAGCGTTTCTCGACACTCTGACTGCGCCTGACCTATCCATGCTCGATATCTCGGACCAAATGCTCTCCCTCGTAGTGGACGCAATTCTTCTACGAGATCAGCTGGTGAACTCTGGAACAGGGCTCGTGTGGAAGGTAGGTATTTTTTTTAAATCTATTCCTAGGATCCTAATCTTCAATTTCCGGGCTAACGACTTGTCAGATCGCTCACTTCGGCCTGCCGGCTGCAGGCATTATCCTCCTTTCAATGCTTAAACAACACCGCACACTAACCGAAGGAAGATCCTCATGGTCCAAAACCATACTTAATCTCGGTATCTTTGTCGCGCAGGTTCAAGTTGGGAGCATCGTTCGTCGTGGAGATCCGAATTACGCCTTGATATCCAAAGCGACACAGACTATCGAGCGCTTCCTTGATTCTATACACCGTGAAGGAATGCAATCCCCGACGCAATTAACATCGCATCCAGGAGAAACTGGCGACTGGGCTGCTTTTTTCACCCAGGATCTGTGTGATTTCGAAACTGACTTTTGGGAGAATCTCGCATACCATCCATCTTTGCTGGCTTCGGACCCTAGTTTGCCTCAAATATCGTAGATGAACACAGGTTTGAAAACAAGGCAAGATGGAACATGCATTATGAATTGTACGAACACAAAACTTGGTCACCCGCTTATGCAGCCTTTGTCCATTAGCTGAAGTGATGCTAGTATTGAAGATGTGTTCAGATGTCCTCCTTCTCTTTCAGACGTCCTAAATGAAAAGAACTGCTGTTATAATCGATGCTTTCATTTAGATACCTGTATATTCTCTGGGCCTTGACTCTCAATTCTCTAACCTGGTATTCATCATCATATTTGAAAATGTTTTAAGCGTCCTCGGAAAATCCTTGTAAGGATTAGTGACCTCACTGACATCTACAATCACTTCATAACACGCGATAAGTGATCAAAAGAATGCGTGTTAGCTATGCAAATGATTCCAAACTTGACAAAAGGAACTGCAGTCCAGAACGCAAACAAACGGCATTCTAAAGTGAGAGTTGATGATGCCGAAGCCTGACAATGTCTATATATGATCATCACCTTAGACCTTTCTGTTTTTTCCTTCTTCTGTTTTAATCTTTCTAATCTAGCTATAAAGCCAAAATGAAACCCGGACTACATTCTATCGTCATGAATTAGATCACTTTCTCCGAGGCCCCCTAGAGCTCCTCGTCTGGTTTCTGTGCAGTAGGTTCGCGGCCCAAAAGGTAACCTCGCATCGTAGACCACACGCTAGGCTCTGGTTCAAGAGACTTATTCTTAACCTTATAGGCTGTGTGATTTTCTTCCATTGGCATATCACCATCGGCATCCAAATGTCGCGAATCATCCAAAGACGAGTCACTTAGAGTAGTGAAGCTAGTCTTATCAGACTTCCCCTTTGGTGACTGAGTGTCAATCAATCTCTTCTTTTGTGGCGGAGAAGTCATTCCGCCTTTTTCATCACCCTCATCCCTAGTCCGCTTGCGATTGACACGCTCAATAGCATGTGATAAAGCATCTAGGCCAGGATTGCGGGACGGAGATGGAGCTTCCGTACAAGTGGCTTCATAGTAGCCAAGCTGTGGGGTATCTGGGATAGGAGCCCGAAGAACTTCTGGGGCAATCACGGGGGAATGATCTGGAAGGGAACCAATACCAGCCTGAATGAGAGAAATGGAAGTAGAAGTGGGGGTAGGGATAGGGCCAGAAGGTGAGCCAGGAGAAGGAAGAGGGGCGGGAGCATTGGCACAAGGACGAGCGCGGGCAGGATCAGGAGAAGGAGCAGGAGGAGGGGCAGGTGCATTGGCACGAGGCCGAGCACGGGTGCGGGCAGCAGTAGGAAGACCAGAGATAATAGGAAGACGAGCAATAGGAATAGTCGGATGAAGACCAGGCGCAGGAACAGGCGCAGGAGCAAAGCCACCTGCAGGAGCAGGCATGGGGACAAAATCAGTAATAGGATAATTGAAATCGACAACTCTCCACGTAGGATCAGTGAAGCGGTAATATCGAAGAATATTGAACATGCGCTCGGTGAGGTCCGCTGGATCTGGGACATGAGCGAGAACTAAAGCTGGGAACTCATTTCGCCTAGCGGTGAGCTTATTTCTGATGTCAAATGCCTTCTTACCTTTAAATACTGAGTTCCAATGACCTCCATCTTGAAGAAAGTTGTGCAATCCGGGATTGTAGATCTCTCGAACCAAGCGGAGAACGGCCATCTGATCTCCAAAGTTCGTGTTTATGTCGATACCAATAGCTTCCCAAAAGGGAACTTCAAACTTTGAGCTCATGTTCAACCTCATATCTGTGATCACTCGCGCCATTTTGGAAGATTTTGAGGAGAGTTATAGAGGTTGAGTAGTTGGTTTGTTGGCTTGTTAAATCGTTAGATTGAATTGTATTGTTGACTTGTTGACTTGGAATTTTTCGGAATTTTTGAAAGTGATGATTGCCTAGGTGGTATTCTCAACTGCTAAATGTTCGCGAGGCGCTTTGTGACTTGCTAGATTGTTGCAAGCATGGCTCAAGTATTCTGGGATACACAAAGGAATACTATTTTAACCTCGAATTCCCCTTTTTAGAACAAAGCAGCGCTTTGATGAGATACTTGGCAAACCCAAACAATTGGTTTCTAATTGTGGCATCTCTAAAGAAATCACTTGCCAGCACTTGTTTCTCTAAATACGAGACAAAGACAAGGGGAGAAAGTGACCGAGAATAACTAGAGGCTTCATTTGCATTTGGGAACGCAAGGAAGACTGAACTCTGGAAACAGAATAGGAACTTCTTTCTGTTAGTTTTCTTGTTGAAATATACAAAAGACCTTCTTCGCCAAGTTAAGTCTTTCCCAAAGACGATGATCACAAAGATGATAGACTATTTTGTACGTCCTTACTACCATTGGTAGGACTTTTTGATAGACCAGCATCAAGCTTGATTATCAGCAGCCTAAAAACAAAGACTGAATATGAAAACAAAGACGCAAAAAACCAAAAAATTGCCAAATGTCGATGATGTGGTAATCTTCACAGCCTGCTTTGAAAAGCACATGGAATCGCCTGCAGGGGATCCTCAGTGCCCAAAGGCAAGATGCACACATCAAGAAGACGAAAAACAGAGTTTCTGAGCTCCAGGAGGCCTGTATAAATTACTGTGCTCATTACGGATAATGCGCTATATAGGTCGCGTGATTACGTGCTTCGGAGTTCTCATTTGACCATTGTGAGTAAGAAGGCAGATATCCCAGCGAGACTCACGTCGGGCTCGGTTTACTCCGCCAACGCGTGTGTATCTAGCAGAGCATTTATAGTGCGATCGACACGAATGTCAAAGTAGTTAAAGCTAATCAAAGGAAGATCGGTAGGAGATGATGATATAGTGGTCATCTTCGCTCGCAGAGTGAATTCTAGTAATATCATTGATATGATAGCCATCTATTAAAACCCCAATGGCATACAGACGATTAGTGTTTCAGAAAGAAATCTGCCGGGCTTCGGGGAGGATTCGTCTCTCTGGGCAGTTTTTTTTTTGCGCGGCTACCTGCTACTCATGTGTCGGCAGATCCTGGTTGAGTTTCTAGTCTGCCAGGAGGCCTTCATAGATGTAGGGTCAGACAGAACAGGGCGATGCCGACTGCACAGATATGCGTTACAGTGCCGACCATCTGATAGCATCACTCCACAAACCCGATTTCTGCGTTAGATTCTATAGGCTCCAGTTGATGAGCAATAGCTTCAGTAAGAACCCTTCCTTCTTCTAGGCAGTATACTTGACATCCTCATGCTTCCCGTTGTGCCAGATTTCTAGCCACCGTGCTATTCCCTATGGAGGCATCTGAGTTGTGCGGACTTCCAAACTCACCCCATGCCTCTTTGGTCGGCTTCTGAAGAGGGTAAATTCGCCCTGGGTCGCTCTTAGAGAACGAAGTCATATGAAGCGGACCATTGAGCCCACATTGCCTAGGGTCTGCGCCGGCGTTGAAGAGCTACGCGGCTTTGATTTAGAAGTCGAGAAGCAGCTCGTTATAGCTCCATTTCTAGGCTCGAGTATTCAAGAAATGTCAATGAACTTGGCTGCATCGCTCCGACTCCAGCCACGAAAAATGATAACGGTTCTTCTTTTGGGCTCTCCAGGTGTGGACCTCGTGGCTTTATCTCTCGGTTTTGGGGTGGGGCTGTGTTTTATAGGTCCAGCCAAGCTCAGAGCTAAGCAAAAAAAGGGGGTCAGAAGGTCTGGACATTGGAATTTGTGGAGGGGTCACTGCCCGCCTCGAGGACAAGGATGCCGAGGAATGAGTTCCGTTGCTTAGGGCACGAGACAATCACGTATCCTGTCATCCCTCCAACAAGAATGGATTCAGCCTCAGAAGGCGACTCCATGCTTCGCTGAATCATGGAAGACTGACATTCGCAATAGATCTAGAATCCTAACCCTTCAGAGAACATTTCAGAGTTTCATCTCTTTGGTCTTGCATCTCCAAGGGGTTGACTCAAGGAAAAGAGGGCTGAGCGGAGTCATGTGGTCTTACGGGCTCTATGTCATCTGCAGGGATGTAGTATATACAGCAGTCCGAAGGATTCACCTCCTTTTCAGTCTGACAATCGAATCAAACAGGCAATCAGCCACATGCAACGAAATATCCAAAAAAATCCCCTATTCTCTTCCTCTACGAATAGGTTGAATGTCGCATGACTCAAAAGGCCGAGGCTTAGCCTACAGGATCAGCCCTTGTTCCCCGCATACGCTTTGACATGGTCGATTCAGCGATGATCGATGATAATTGTCAGACTCAAGTTGTTTTTGAAATTCGTATAACAATTGTATTACGCGCTTTCGAGCCGCGCTCCTCGCTCTTTTAATTTATGTCCGTGTTGCTACAACTTGCAAATACAAAACTATCGCGTACTGCCCATGACTTGCCCCCGGGCGCTATGATCCCGTTCAGCGTCTTAGTGCTGACGAGTGGTATAATGTGGACATCCTTAGACAAAGCCACAAGTTTTCTTTTGGGGCTGATCTGCAGCTGTGCTTACCCCACGGGGAATGTTTGATCTCTTTTTATATTCGGTGGGGTGGCCAATGTTCCCCATATTCTTCCTCCTAAACAGTTTTTGAAACGCAAAATCAGAGTTCTCTTGAAGCTAAAAGCAATTGAAAGCCCCTCATCATGGATGAAAAATCGTCTGAGGGTGCTCCTCACTATGAGCATGGAATCCCCGCTAAGAAAGAGCAGGATGAGGCGGCCAATCCTGATACACCTGAGCGTCGTCGGGCTATCGGAATCAACGTCGTTGAGAATCCGTTGACGGTAAGCCTGCGACCAAAGCCCTGATCTTGCATTTTTGTATCGAGCAAAAAAACTAACCGTTTTTTCTACGTCCATAGCGCAGCTCCAAGGAGCAAGCTATTGTCGATGCCCGAGCATACGCCGAGTGGCATAATATGAGCGAGTACGCCGATCTATTTGGCAGGGCTGCTGTAGTTGCGCGGAGCCCTAAGGAATTTCCCTCGGCCCCTGAGCTTGATGAAGAGGAACGCACCGCACTCGCATACGAGAGGGACCATAAATGGCACGGTCCCTTTATGCTCTGGTATTCAATTGGGCTGTGTGCTATTGGAGCTGCCACACAAGGATGGGATCAGACTGGATCCAACGGCGCCAACTTGTCTTTTCCGGAGGAGTTCGGTATTGCGAGTAAAGGAAAAGATGAATGGATTGTGGGAATCGTCAACTCGATTATTTTCTTGACTGCTGGTCTTATGTACGTATACCACCAGAGAGCATCATGATTTTTGATTGCGACTAACCTTGCACGCAGTGGTGCTTGGATAGTCGATCCGCTTAATCACTACTTGGGCCGACGTGGTGAGATTTTCGTTACTGCTCTCTGTCTCACTGCCACACCAATCGGCTCTGGTTTCTCAAAGTCGTGGCAAGGGCTCTTTGCTGCGCGCTTTGTGATGGGCATCGGAATTGGCGCAAAGAACGCCACGGTGCCCATTTACTCAGCAGAGATGGCACCGGCTAGAACCAGAGGTGCTCTTGTCATGTTCTGGCAGCTTTGGGTCGTAGTTGGCAAGCATCTCTCATACCTTTTCAAGAACTACAGCTAATCTCAATGCAGGAATTTTCTTGGGCTTTGCTGCCAACGTCATTGTCAAAGATGTCAAAGATATTGCTTGGCGTCTTCAACTCGGTTCCGCGTTTATTCCATCTTTCATCCTCAGCATTGGAATTTTTTTCTGTCCCGAGTCTCCTCGCTGGCTCATGAAGCACAACAGACACGCCGAAGGATTTCAGTCAATGTTGCGCTTACGAGCTCATCCAATTATCGCAGCGAGAGATTTCTATTATTCATACATTATCTATGAAGAGGAACTCAAGGAGGCCCGAGGCGCAGGCTATTTCTCCCGTTTGTGGGACTGTTTCGCCGTTCCGAGAATTAGACGGGCTAACTATGGCGCCTCCACGGTTATGATTGCGCAGCAAATGTGCGGTATCAACAGTGAGTGGTATCTCGCCTCGTGAGAGTAGCCAGAACTAAGTCCCTTTTAGTCATTTCGTTCTACAGCTCAACGATCTTTCGGGATGTCGGCTACACAGAAGACCAGGCCTTGTATGCGTCTCTTGGATACGGTGCTATCCAGGTCGTGGCCACAATCCCTACTTTGTTCCTAATCGACACCAAAGGCCGAAGAAGTCTGACTTTGATTGTGAGTTATGATAGAAGTTCTAGTTGAATGTCACTGACTCTTGTTCCTTTATAGACATTCCCCTTCATGTGCATCTTTCTACTAGCCGGTGGTCTCTCGCTTTTGAACAAGACAGAAAACCATGCTGCAATGATTGCACCAGTTGCCTTGTAAATTTGGTCACTTCTACTTAGTCTGAGCATAGGCTAATTGGTCTCTTCGAATAGGTTTGTGTATCTGTTTACTATCGCCTACTCACTAGGTGAAGGCCCCGTCGCTTTTCAATACTCTGCTGAGGTATTCCCGACCATTCAGCGAGAGCAAGGAATGGCGTGGGCCGTTTGTATCAACAACACTTTTGGTAAAAACTCCCAACATCAAACCCACGGAGCATCTGTTAACAGATTTTATTCCAGCTGGCGTCCTTAGTTTAACTTTTCCTCGAATGACGACTGTGATGACAAGGACCGGTGCATGTACGTTGACAATTTAAGCTCCTGGTATCCAAAATTGCTAACCCCTGCTACAGTTGGTTTTTATGCTGGTCTGAACCTCCTAGCATGGTTTATGATTTTCTGCTTTGTGAGGGAGACCAAGCAGCTGACTCTAGAAGAATTGGATCGTAAGTCAAGTCTCAAGTCTACATGTCATATACTGACAACGTTGCAGAGGTATTTTCGGTGCCGACCAAGAAGTTCATTCACTATGAACTGACTGTTTGGCTTCCTTGGTGGATCAAGCGATATATCTTGAGAAAGAATATCGAAAGGCCACCACAGATAATTTCACTGGGGGAAAGGGTCAGATAGTTGCCCACAGAGTTAGTTCCTCATGCGTGATATCTTCAGACGGTGACTGTTGGTTCGGTTGATGCCTTTTCTATGGTAGGGACTTTTATTATCCTACCGGAGAGTTACCTACATGATAACTGCAATAATTCTGTTCGCTGTATAAGTAGAATAAACTCTTAATGGTCCTCAACAACGATCGAGGCAGTGATAGTATCCGTATAGAGGAGATTCTTTGGCAAGAACGAACCAATACATCTCCAACTTTCCTTCCTAAGACCAAAGACACTCTCATCTCTAGCGAACGATGCCAGTTGTATTTTCCCATCCATTCACTTCACCATGGACCAAATATCGTCAGAATGGCGACATATGATCGAAGACATAGGTGAAGGTAAAGCAAGACCAGAGGCTTCAGACCAACTTCCATCCAGCATCTCACTGATCCCACTTCTTGAGACCGCTCATCACGTCTTCGCACAAGCGTTCAGAATCAATGTACCTTTAATGCTTTGGCCAGAAGCCTGGTTTCCAGGGGATGATCGACAGTGCCCTATGTGGCTCCGGCCTTGGATTCAATTTCCTCAACAGCAAGAAGAGACGTGGAACAGAATTCTCCACGCGTCCCAGCTTGTTACTGCAAGCATTTTTCCTCCGCAAATCGCTCTCGAACACACTGCTCAGACCCTGCAATGGTACCCAGTGCACTCAGAAGACACATTGAAGCAGTTTGCACACAGAACACTGGACGATTACCTCGGGACTGTTGTTAATTTTCTGGAACATGAGGACACACTGAGGTACAGGTTCAGTATCCGTGGACAACTGAAGTTCGACCGCCCGCGTGAATGCTGCGTTTCTGTTGCAAAATTTGGATTTGAAGAGCCAGCGTACGCAGTCCTGTATATGCCATCATTTAGTCTGACTGTGCCCGAACTGGTTGCAGGGTTGCACGCAACAGCACCGCTCGATTCCTTCGACGAGGAGCCCACCACGTTTGAGGAACACGCCACTGCGATAGTGGTCCATGCAATCGTTCGAATCTATTCAAGAATGATGGGTTCCGGACGCCGGTATGGGTATATCTACACAGGGGAGGCATTGGTGTTTCTTCACATCCCTCTGCACGATTGCACAATTGTTGAATACTATCTCTGTGTTCCTGCTCGAGACGTCGATTTTCATGGTTATGATCCCCATTCAAACTGGGTTCGCCGCACGGCTTTGGGCCAAGTCCTCGCTTTCGCATTACAATCTTTAGCTGCTACTCCACCATCTCAGGAATGGCAGGATGCGGTTTATCAATCCTATCGCCCTCTCGAAGACGACTATTCAATTATCATGCCCCAAGCCCCGGATGACATTCGACTCCGCCCACCACCAGAGTTTATGTACGAAAACTCATTCTGGACTAGATTCTGGGAAAACCTTCTGCAGGCAAGGATACCAACGGGCCATACAGAAGTCCCTGGTCTACCAACCTCTGGGTCGTCAGATTTTTGCAATCCCTACTGTACCCAGGAATGCCTCCTTGGCACCTTTGAAAAGGGTGCTCTAGATGAAAACTGCCCGAATGCTGCCCAGCACGGCGTAGGAAGACACCAAATCAGCTCGCAAGAGATTTGCGACATGATGAATGAACAACTTCGGGCAAATCGGTATAGAGGATTTGAGCAGCTGCACATTGTCGGTCGAACCTGTTATCTGTTAAAAGCATCTTTGCTGTCTCACGGGTATACTATGTTGATCAAGGCTACCAGTGCCAGCAGGTCGCACAAAATCAATACTGAATTGAATAACTATGAGAGCCTTATGTCCTTGCAGGGATCACAAATCCCTGTATGTCTTGGGATGTTTTCGCCTAAGATCCCATATTGGTATCATGGGGTTCAAATGGAGTACATGCTGCTCCTCAGTTGGTCTGGAATTCGAACGGATCAACATGTCACCCTTGAAACTTCTCAGTTCCTTGATCAGGAGATGCGGAAACTTCAGGACAAACTTCAAGAGCATGGAGCTGTTCAGAAAGATTCCGCTTTCCGCAACTTGCTGTGGAATCCAATGTCACAATCCTTTGTGATGGTTGACTTGGAAGATTTGAAGTGGCTGACGAGAAGTGCAAAAAGTTCCGAGGGGCATGAAAGCCAGCAGGCACAATTCAACACAGATGAAATCCAGTCCAGTGGCTATCTTGGAGATGCTGAGAAGTAATCTTCGATTATGGCGCTCACAACATGTGAAAGAAAGGGTTGGTTGTGTTAGAAGAAAAGGCACCGTAAAAGATTCTATATATTATTCCCAACGCTATCTTTTTTTCCGGGTGCCATCGTTTCTGTTGCCTGTAGGTTCCTTGTATCCTGTAGCACACGGCTGTAGTGCGAGATATTAAGCACAAAAATAAAAGTAATCACTTCAGATCAAAAGTCTATCATCGATCTATTAGCAATTGACGATAATTCCCAGCTTAGTCGACGTGAAAAACGTACCATATCAAACCAAATACCACCAGCAAAGGTGGATTGGCTTTTCCCCTGACTCTTAAACCCAACACTTTCATAAAAACTCATCAAGTAGTCATGCGCGATCAGAACAACCTTTCTCGCCCCAAAACATCCTCTCCTGAGATGCTCAAGGTACGCCCGGACGAGAGCTCTCCCAATCTTCTTGCCCTGATACTCCGGTGAAACAGCAACAGAATGGATTGCAATGGTATCACCATACTTATGATTCCCGATCAACTCATTATTGACAAAGACTGGCTCATCATCCAGTGCTCGCCAATTCTCCGGCATTGACATCGATCCGTCGGTGATACGTGTGTAGGGAGAGCGGACCGCGATGACATGTCCAATAAGTGTAGGTGAATCTGAGTCTTGCTCATTCTCAACAAAGAGTCCCAGGCATAGCTCAGGACAGGCTCCCAGACGATAGCAGAACTTGGATTGCGTCAGAAGAAACAATCGTTGGTATTGCTCTGTTGGCTCAGTCTTCGGCTTACCTTTTCCTCGGAGCATCGTTCAGCCTCTGTAAAGGCTTCCTCGACGGCTACGCAAATCTTCACGTCTTCTTTGCTCAGAGTTCGGGTGAATGCATTAATTCCGCCGAGGTTTGGAATGTGGATGTTGGTCTGGTTCATGGTGTGATGCTTATATTAAGTTGTGAGGTCAGGTAATAAAAAATAGAAAACAAGAAGGCAATCTAACATGTAATTTGAAGAAATATAAGCAATTGCCGTTCTAAGGAGTCAAGGGTATTTCTATACTGGCGGAGTAAGACAAATCGGAGTATTCGGACCGGAGTGTTCGGCGTGAGTAACCCCCGTGGAGAGTGCGATCGTCGATCACTGCGGAAAACGTGGAATCTGGATCTTTTGTAGTGGTTGAATATCATAGATTTGATGCATCATTTGCAGATATTAAAGAGCTTGACCCCGTATTAACTACACCGCTACTGAGTGGCGGGCAGCATACAAAATATGGTGGTCAATTTTGGTCTACACACTTGCTAGAACTCATGGTGTCCACTACATTTCTCAGCTGTAGCTGAGGCAGGGAAGATGCAGTTCAAGTTTTCTTTTTTTTGCTTATTTTGGGGGCCTCGTTGCTGATAAGAGAAGGACTGGGTCTTCCATTTATGAGCAGCCCTTGAGGCGGATCGGAGATGAGATATTGTACAAACTGACCTGTTAATATTACAAAGTGCAAAGCATCGCTTCCAGCCTTTCAGAGTTTCGCCAACAAAGACTCGACAAACGTGCGCAGTCTATCCAATGTGACATCCTGCTTCACATCTAGCCGACGGCACTGCACCTCCAGGGTCTGCTTCTTCTTCCACCCATTGCCAACAATAACAATAATGGGGTATCCAATCAAATCTGCGTCACCAAGTTTCCAGCCCATACCCTTATCCCGGTCATCTAAAATGACATCAACAGGAGCTGCAGCATCGCCGGCAAGACTGTCATACACCTGATCCGCAACGGTTTCCAGCCCCTTTCCCGAGACCACCACAACCTCGTAGGGCGCCACAGCGCGTGGCCAATTGAGTCCCTTGGAATCAGCAAGTCGGTTTGCGACTGCAGAGATCATACGCGAGACACCGATACCATGACATCCCATCTGCATCGGCACGATTTGTTCCTTGGCGGAAGATTTCGCATCGGTATCTGAAGATCCCTCAAGAAGAGCGGAGTTGACAGAAACAGACGCATTCAGGACTTTACTGTACCGCGTTCCCAAGTGAAATGTGTGTCCTAGCTCCACAGCAGAGTGACTAGTTAACGATCCATGCGCACACTGCGAGCACCGGTCTCCGTTGTGCACACGGACAAGGCTGAGTTGGTTTGAAGTCCCGGGGAATCGGTCCAGTTTGGAGTAATCTATGTCCGCAGCTGTACAGCCAACTTTAAGGAGAAGATCACTCAGCGGCGGGCGCTGGTATACCCGCACCTGCGAGTCGTATAAATCCAAAACCCGCGGCTTCTGTGTGGAAGATTTGTTTGCCTTTACGTGGGCGGTCCATCGGTCCAGTGGGTTCTCCACGCTCAGATCGAGATCAATACCAGCGGCGGCCGCCACGGCCTTGACGGCGTGTGAATTAATATGGCGCTCCACGGGCTCTGTCGCACCTTCCTGCATGGAGAATTTGGGGTGCCAGCTCCGCACGATGGTGTTGCTATCATGAGAGACAGCCATCCACATGCCAGTTGAGATTGTTGGTCTACCTTCGACAAGTGCATCATCCGTCTGAAATCCAGGCGCAGTGTTTTGCTCGGACCCCGCAGAGCTGTGCGTCTTGCCGTCTGCGAGTTCTTCGTTATAGACATGGTCACAGTGTGAGCAGCTCACCACATCGTCCTCGCCCTTCGGGCTGATGAAGTGGTATTCATGGCTCAATGAGCCACCCATATTCCCCGAGTCCGCTGCCGCGACTAGGTAGGGAATCTTGAGTTCATTAAAGAATTGAGTGTAGGCATTTTTGACTGCCTCATATGTTTTCAGTGCTTCGCTGACACTGTAGTCGAATGTATAGAGGTCTTTCATGATGAATTCCCGCCCACGAAGCAGGCCCTGTCTGGGCCGCGCTTCGTCCCGGTACTTTCGCGCTTCATTGATTTTTCTGTTAGTCAAATTTACCAAAAGTTACATGAACAAAAAACCTCACAAATTTGATACACCCGCAAAGGCAGGCTCTTGTATGATGTTGTCAGATTCCCCACAAGGGTTGTAATCTCTTCCTCGTGTGTTGGGGCCAAGAGAAAAGGAGTATCTTTCCGATCATTAAATCGGAACAGCTGTGATCCATGTTAGTGACATTGTGCAAGATGATAAATATAAACAACCTACTTCTGAGCCGTCGGTCAGTCGGCCAGACTGTGCCCATAGCTCTTGTGAGGATATAGAGGACAAAGAGACCTTGGAAGCTCCTAAATTTGTTTTAGTTGCCATCCCGAGATAAACACACGGTATAAGCCATACCGAGTGAGCGCATATGCTTGTCAATCAGACGCTCTAGCTTATCTTGAACACGTAGACCAAGTGGGAGCAAATGAAACACTCCAGAATAAGCCCGGAGGGCTGTCAACAAAATGGTTTTGGATGTTAAAGATGTGAGTTGTTGCTCACCTGCCGGAGAAAGCCACCTCGGACCAGCAGGTCATTGGCATCCTCTAGATCTCTATTAACATCTGATGATGGTCAATTTCCATGGGGTCTCTGAATAGCGTACCCTTTTCACCATCTACGGGCTTCTTGGAAATTCCACCAGTAGGGATCCAGATATTTGAAACACGGCTTCTGCCATCAACCTACATCGAGTCAGTACTCAATATCAACCACATTCAATCAACTTTTGGAAGCGCGCACGTGAATATTGCATTGCTGAATGCGCAGGCTCCACGCTAGCCGCCGCCCGGCCTTGCGCCCTGATAGAGGTCTAAGCACAGAAATCATTGATCAAGATAGCTCAAGGCGTTGAAAGCTATAATTTTCGCAATTGAACTGCTGGCGAAACACGAAACAAATTGTAGAGCAAGCCGAGTCTCCCTTCGGTGTTTCTTATCGGGTTGGTCCGAGCGCCCGATAACCCGCCGCAAAAGATTTCTCCGTTCATTTTTCTTTCCTTCATCAGTCAACCCCAAACACAACACACCATGGCTACAGGGAAAGGAAAGCGCTCTTCGCGGGCTAATGAGATTGCTCCCTCGGTGGGCGTCTCAGCTCCCGTTGCAGAATCCATGCCATTCATGCCGGACGAGAGCGCCTTCGCAGGCCTACGACAGAAAATTGAACAGCGTTTGAAGAACCAGAATCAGAGCACCGGGAAGGGCAAAAAGGTTAATATCAAGCCATCGGCCCCTGCTGCAAATCTTTCCGTAAATAACGGAAAGCCATCTCCCGCAAAGCCTGGCCGGAATCAAGATTCTGCGCAAGGCAAGAAGCGGGATCGCAACGGCGAGGTGATTGCTCGGGAGCAAAAAAACGGTGGATTCACGAAGCAAGAAAAACCCAAAGTCGGCAAGAAGAGCAATGACGACGAAACACTTCGCCAAGAGATTCTAGCTATGGGTGGTACCGAGGAGGATCTTGACCTTCTTGCGGGTGTCGACTCTGAGTCTGAAGTTGAGGGCGAGTCCGGGAATGCTGATGATGATCTTCGGAAGCAGCTCTCTAGCATGTTGGAAGCTTCAGGGCACGTTGTGCCTGAGGATCTAGCAGATGACGAAGTCGAAGACATCGATGAGGAAATAGAGAGCGAGGATGATCTCCAGGATAGCGAGGACAATGCAGTGAGCAGCGGGCCAGAATCCGATATTGAAGAAGCCCCCGCTCCGAAGACAAAGGAGTCCAACTCTGTGGTTCCCAAGGAGTATCTGAAGCTGGCAAGTTCTGGAGCCTAGCACCACAAGGCCTTTTTGCTAACATGATAATTTAGAATGTTCTTCCCCGGTCCGATTGGTACAACATCCCTATGCCCTCCTCCGCCAGTGACACGAAACACATGAACGCTCTGCCCCGCCACCTTATGGAGCGCGTTCACGAGCTGGCCAACAAATTGCTACAGGAAGAAAATGAGGAGTACGCGGCAGCCCAGAGGGCATCTGCTTCTTCTTCCCACAAGTTCTACTCGACCATTATGACGTCTGGTACCCTGAGCGATAAAATCTCCGCCTTGACTCTTAACGTTCAAGAGTCGCCTCTACACAATACCAAGGCACTGGAGACTTTGATTGGTCTCGGAAAGAAGCGTAGTCGTGCGCAGGCAGTTGAAGTTCTGCGATCATTGAAGGATATGTTCGCGCAGGGTACTTTGCTGCCTAGTGACCGACGATTGAAGTCTTTCACCAACCAGCCCGGGCTCGTTGCTGCATTCCAAGGCGCCGGCGGGCGGTGGAACGAAAGAGACCCTCTCCCAGGCGGTTTGAAAAAAAAGGATCTGATTGTGTGGGCATTTGAAAACTTTGTAAAAGATCAATTCTTTGAAGTCATCAAGATTCTTGAGATTTGGTGCAATGATGAGATCGAATTCTCACGGACCCGGGCCGTCAGTTACGTCTACGAACTTCTCAAAGAGAAGCCCGAGCAGGAGACCAATCTTTTACGACTTTTGGTCAACAAGCTCGGAGATCCGGGCAAGAAAATAGCCTCTCGGGCATCATACCTGTTGCTGCAACTCATGCAGTCGCATCCTATGATGAAGCCAATCATCATCAAGTCAGTGGAAGAAGTGCTGTTCCGGCCTGGTCAGAGCTCACACGCCAAGTACTATGCTGTGATAACTCTGAACCAGACTATCTTGAGACTAAAGGAAGAAAAGGTGGCCGGCCAGCTTCTGGACATCTACTTTGGACTGTTCCTCGTGCTGTTGAAGCCCTCCCACCAGGGCAAGCCTGCTTCCAGCGGGAAGCCTGCCCCCAAGGGGAAATACAACAAGCATGGAAAGGGATCGAAGGGCAAAGGCGACGACGATGCTGCCAAGGGACAAGCCCAGGATGACGAAATGCGCGAGAAGCTGATCTCTGGTGTCTTGACCGGTGTCAACCGTGCTTATCCTTTCACTGACTCCGATTCCGAGCGGTAAGCAATTTTTTCATAGTTTAAATACTCCATGCGCTGTACTAACTCACACTAGCATGTCGAAGCACCTCGACACCTTGTTCCGTATCACACACTCCTCGAATTTCAACACTAGTATTCAGGCCCTTATGCTGATTCAACAGCTCACGGTTGCTAACCAAGTTTCCGGTGATCGCTTCTACCGCACTCTGTATGAGTCTTTGCTCGACCCCCGCGTTGCCACCTCATCAAAACAATCTCTCTACCTCAACCTCCTGTACAAATCTTTGAAGAATGATCTAAACGTCCGCCGAGTCAAGGCATTCGTGAAGCGTCTTGTTCAAGTACTTGGTATGCACCAACCCTCGTTCATCTGCGGTGTCTTCTTCATGATCCGTGAGCTCGAGAAGACCTTCACAGGCCTCTCATCCTTGGTCGACCAGCCAGAGGAGAACGATGATGATGATGAAGAGATCTTCCGTGACGTCCTCGATGAGGATGACGAACAGCCGGAACCTGCTCCCGTTGTCGAAACCAAAAAGCAGAACAACTTGTACGATCCCCGTAAGCGAGACCCTGAGCACAGCAATGCCGACCGGAGCTGTCTTTGGGAATTGCTGCCTTTCACCACTCACTTCCATCCTTCTGTCTCCCTTAACGCTACCAATTTGCTTGAGCACAACCCCATGAGTGGCAAGCCAGACCTGACTCTGCACACTCTTACTCACTTCCTTGACCGTTTCGTGTACCGCACACCCAAGGCTAACGCCAGCTCCCGCGGTGCCTCTATTATGCAGCCCCTGGGTGGTGGTGAAGCCGTCGACCGGTTGGTGGAGGCTGGCAAGAAGATACAAAACCAGTTGCCGCTCAACACCGAAGCCTTCTGGAAGAAGAAGGCCGAAGATGTTGCCGCAGAGGATGTCTTCTTCCACGAATACTTCACTCGTGTCAATAAGGACAAGGACAAGGTGCGTACCAAGAAGAGCAAGGATGTTGACGCCGACGATCAGTCCGACGAAGGTCTTAGCGGAGACGAGGACGAGATCTGGAAAGCGCTTGTCGACTCTCGCCCCGAGCTGGAAGCCGACGAGGACAGCGACGATGATTTGGACATGTCCGATTTGGAATCTGCTCTAGGCTCCGACGAAGATGGGGAAGGCGCGGACGAGGACGACTCCGACGGTGGTGTCATCTTCAACGACGAGTCCGATGTTCCATCCGACGAGGAAATGGCTGAGTTCAGCGAGCCCGAGGAAGCCGCGCCTCCAGCCAAGACCAAGAAGGCCGCCAAAAAGCTCTCCAAGGAAGCCGAGGAGGACTCCGACGACTTCGACATGGATGTTTCGGACGACGATGCCTTCTTCGACAGCGACGAGGACCTGCCATCGGATATCGACTTGGGTGGAGTCGACATGGAAGAGCCCGAAAAGCCCGCCGATACTGCCGCCCCGGAGTCGAACCGCAGCAAGCGCCGCAAGCTCAAGCAACTGCCCACTTTCGCCTCCGCGGACGACTACGCTGCGCTGCTGGCGGACGAGGACGAAGGAATGTAATCTATATATTCTTGCACAAAGAGAGTTCGATTATTTCTTTACCCCCATGGTGGCCAAAATTTTTTGTTTTGCATCTGGAGTTGTCGCAGGTTGCACACCTTCTGTTTTTTGGGGGGTTTCCTCATTTTTCACTGTCATCTATATCTAGTCTATCTACTCCGTCTCTGGACGCTGCAGTCAATACAAGCTCATTGGAATATGCCCAGGACCTAGATCTAACAAGCCTGCCGATCTAAAACCAAGCCTTATTCCTCTTTGAGGCAAAATTGCGCAGTCCTATATGACAGCTCTGGTTTAATCACAGGGGTCCACTTAATCCTGTTGGTCAATTTGGGTTTCAATAACGTCGCAAGGGATAAGATCCCCTCCGTGAATGGGAAATCTTTCGACCCATTGTACTAAAAAATCGCACATCAGGATATCATAGTGTAGATAGAAAACCTGGTATTAAACACACAGGGCATCTAAATAAGCTCAGGGCTTGTGTGGCTTGAAAGCGCCCAAATTCCCCTCGACACCAAACGGGGTACGCCGAGTGGATATCGATGCCATTGCTGCGGGTTCGCACGCAAGAGCGGCTGCTGGGGCCGACGGCCAGAATTTTTTAAGATAAAATTTTGTTCATTCACTGGGTTTTTGTTGTTTTATGCACCGGCTTTTGATGCTTTCTCAAATTGGATAGTATGTCAGATATGTACAGCATATAGGTACGTATCATATGTTTTTCAGTGGCATAGGCATTTGCGCATAGTTCACGAGTTCACGTTTCAATACTTCCAAGGCCAGACCCTGAGTCAGCGGCACGTGGTGTGACAGTTGCCTCCGGCATGAGGGAAAAAGAACAATTCGATGTCAAGCATTGACGGTCCTTTCACAAGTTGTTTAGTTGCCAATTGAGAAACGTTGAGAACGAAATCTCTAATGATATATACCAGGTTTCCATTATTTTATGCTGAACCCATGTTCACAAGTATGGATCCCAACGACGACCTGGATTCATTCGACAGCCATCCGCATGCGGGGCCGCCACAGTCCACTCGATGCAAAGAATATCGCGCGATATGGATCTGCGGGCGCAACCGACTTTGCCTTAGTGGGGTTAGGTCTATTGAGAAGCTCCAATCATTGACAGTCTAAGCTCACGCCCCCCCCCCCCCCCCTTGGGAAAATGCGGATTCGGAACGCCCATGGAGTTTGATATCAAAAATGAAAACGGAGAAAAATGCCACACCTTGTAAATCCATGTACAGAACACCAGCAGTACTAGGAGGTCAGTGCCATTTATAGATGAGATGGCATCGAGTCCAATGGTCTGTATCCGACTACCCTGAGACTTGACTTGATCAGGTCATAAACATTCAATGTCCCTTGGCACCGTCTACCGCAAGCCACGGCTTACACTTCGCCTATTGCGGCTGATGCTGGTTCTTGCAACGTCATATTTCTACATTTTGCCTGGTCTGCGATTTGTTCAATTTTTTTCCCTTTTTTAACTTTCCGGATGTCAGGGCTTCCAGTAGAGAAGGTTGAGAATGACGGTATTCTCCAGATACTAGAATTAATTGATTACCATGCAATGCGATGCAATGCGATGCGATCGCGCCATACCTAGTATTTTGCTAGACTAACTTCTTTTTTCCTCCTCTCCGCATCTCGTCTCTCTCTTCTCTTCCTTCAATCTGTTCTTTTTCCCACTCTTCGGTTAAGTTGAGAATTGCGTTCAGTTCCGGGAATACGACCTCAGGTACCCGCATTTGCCCTAATCCGTCCAGCTCGGATCGCTTCACCTGCCAGCACGCCGATCACCCCCAGAATTCAATCATTTGAGTGTGATTATTTGACCGGTGCATCCATCCAAATAGAAAAACGAAGACAAAAATAGAAGAAGAAAACAAGACGCTCACACGCGACCAGTGTATCTTATCACAAATCTTCTGGGAAGCAATACATTCATCGGCAGGTCTTCAACTCTCCTCTCGACTTCACCGAGTTCTGCCAAGCGCGGTTCAACCGTTAGAAAATTAAAAATGGCTCGACCAAATGAATCACAAACTCCTGTCAGCTGGGACCATGACTGGGATTATGACAACAGCCTCGAGCTGTCTGACAAGTCTGAGCAGGAGCCCAAGCTCAAGGACTTCGACATCGAGGGCCAGGGCTGCTGTGGCTCCCAGCACAATGTCACTACCGTCGACGGATCATCAATAACGGAAAGCATTGGTCACCAGATTAAGATGGAGTCAGAGAATACAATCAAATACCGCACGTGCAGTTGGCAAAAGGTATGCTTGGATTAGACCAATAAGGAAATTGTGAGCAGGTTGACTGACTTGTTTTTACAGACTGCTGCTTTGCTTTTCTCTGAGTATATCTGTCTGGCTATTATGTCCTTTCCCTGGTCATATTCCATTCTGGGCCTGGTTCCCGGTTTGATCTTGACTGTGGTTATTGCCGGCATTGTCCTCTATACCTCGCTGATTACCTGGTACGATATCCTGCCCAAGGGCTGCAAGCCCGTGATGGGCTTCAATGTTAAAGTTTCTTTAGGAGATTCTGTCTGCGACACCCGGAAGTCCGCGACGTTTGCGATATCGGCCAGTATCTGTTCTGGGACTCCAAGATTGCGTGGTGGGCCACAGCAGTCATGTTCCTCCTGAACAATACCTTCATTCAGAGCTTGCACTGTGTGGTGGGCTCCGAGTACCTGAATACGATGTCAAACGGCGCAGTCTGTACGGTCGTCTTCTCGATGATCGTCGCCATCATTTCCTGGGTTTTTTCACTGCCCCGCACCTTCAGTACACTGTCAAAAGTCGCGACCCTCTCGGCATTTTTCACATTCATTTCCGTCATCCTGGCTGCTACATTTGCTGCCGTGGAAGATCACCCCACAAAATACTCCGCTGCAACTGGAGACCCAATCGTCCTCGTTATCCCGGCCAAGGGCACCACATTTGTCAAGGGCATGAATGCCTTTTTGAACATCAGCTACACCTTCATCGGCCAAATCACCCTCCCCAGTTTCATCGCCGAAATGAAAGAGCCCCGCGACTTCTGGAAGTCCGTAACAGTCGTAACAATCGCTGAGATCATCGTCTTCAGCGTTGTCGGTGCAGTCACCTACAACTACGTGGGTAGCCAATACATGGTTGCGCCAGCCTTCGGCTCCATCGGCGATGACCTTTTCAAGAAGGTCTCCTTCTCGTTCATGATCCCGACTATCATTTTCTTGGGCGTGTTATACGCCTCCGTCTCAGCCCGTTTCATCTTCTTCCGCTTGTTCGAGGGCACCCGCCACAAGGGCAACAACACTGTCGTTGGCTGGGCTGCTTGGGGTGGAATTCTTGCTGCACTTTGGGTCGCCGCCTTTTTCATTGCAGAAGTCATTCCCTTCTTCTCCGATTTGTTGTCGATCATGAGCGCGCTCTTTGATTCTTTCTTCGGTTTCATTTTCTGGGGCACGGCATATATCCGCATGCGCGCTGCGGATCACGGACCCCGTTTCTTTATGGTCCGTGGGATTCGAGGCTGGCTCGGATTCATTTTTAATGTCTTCTTAATTCTCGTTGGTTTCTTCTTTTTGGGACCTGGGACATACGTAAGTGCTGAGCCCTTACGTGGCTTGCTTTGGCTTGGCTTTAATTTCGGGGTTCTTTTGCTAAATATACCTCTAGGCCGCTGTTATGTCCGTGGTCAATAGCTATGCGGATGGCACTGTCCGTGGTGTTTTCACCTGTGCCAGCAATGGACTGTAAACTCCTCGCGGGGCGGGGATTTTGCTTCATTTTTCATCTTCATCTTCGCATTTTAATCTCTTATGCACGTTGTTTCTGATCGACCGGGTTATAGACTCTGGTGAATTAATGACTCTGATGACCGAAAAAGCAACGTGGAGGATAATGATTGACTTCATATCACTTGAGCACCTTTGGGAATTGGGAATTGGGGGACTTTCAGATGGATGTGGGTTCCGCTGCAGGTTTTCAACTGCTCTGTATACCTTGGCAAAAAAAGAGCTTGGATCGTGGGCCTTGCTCTCTCTCTGTGTATATTTATCACTGCTTTTTTTGCTGCAGTTGTTACTTTGAATTAAATCCGAGTAAATGTCCTACAGACCGCAATTTGGTTTGCTTTGCCATTGCCGCGGCAATGCTCCGGTGGCCCTTTGGTCTGCCAATCACTGTAGGCATCTACCTCAGTTGAATTGGAACGAAAGTGCCGCCGATGGAAATAGTCAACAGGAACTAACCGGTTAACATACATTACCTAGTTTGTATGCGTTGAAACAGACCATCTCCAACCGCGCCCTGAGGAACTTCCAAATCGGGCAACCAGCTACTCCCCGATCGCCTATCAGCACGTGACTTTCCCGCGAAGTTTCCCCGACGGCGGATGTGTGACTTCTCGTGGTGTATTCCTTTTTCTTTTTCTCTTTCTTTTTGTCAATTCGATTCCCTCAGCATTGATTTACCATGTCAAGTGTCCGTATTATCACAAGAAGTGTTGACCTCGCCGCCGCGAGGGCCGTCACCCTCAACCTTCCCCGCACCTCGATTGGCTCCACCTTACTTCGGCGGGAGCTCTCCTCCGCGGCTATTGTGCGACCAGCAGTCGCTCGGTCATTGAAAGCCAATGCGCCAGTTGTAACTGTAGCTTCGCGGGCTGCAACTCAGGCTGTGCGGTATGCCTCTAGCTCCAGTGAGCCCCTTAGCAAGACACAGCTCTATGACTTGCACTTGGAGCATGGTGCCAAGATGGTGCCCTTCGCCGGCTTCGACATGCCTTTGCAATATGCCGATTTGAGCCATGTGGAAAGCCACATGTGGACGCGCGAGAAGGCCAGTCTTTTCGATGTAAGCCACATGTAAGTTAACCGCCTCCAAACCAAAACAAACCCCCAATGGCTCATAAAGTTCCCCATCTACAGGGTCCAGCACCAGCTCAGCGGCCCCGGAGCCATTGATCTACTGAAGAAGGTGACTCCTTCATCAGTAGACAAGCTAGCACTTAACACCTCCACCCTCTCCTGCCTCCTTGAAGAAGGCACCGGCGGCATAGTCGATGACTGCGTTATCACCCGCCGCGGCGAAGACACCTTCTACTTCGTCACGAACGCCGGCCGCCGCACAGAGGACCTGGCCTTCTTAACCGCCGAAATCGAAGCGTACCGCTTCAAGCATGGAGCCGACAGCCTCAAGTGGGAGATCCTTGCAGACCGCGCGCTGGTCGCGCTACAAGGACCCCTTGCCGCTTCCGTCCTCCAACCCCTCATCAACACTGCAAACACCCCCGCCTCAGAAACCGACCTGAGCACCCTCTACTTCGGTAATTGCCGCGAGCTGTACCTGACCCTACCCGACGGCAGCGTCACCGCCCACCCCCTCCTCATCTCCCGCACCGGCTACACCGGCGAAGACGGCTTCGAGATCTCCATCCCGACTTCCGGCGCTGCATCTCTCCCCCGACAAGTCACCGAACTTCTCCTCGCTGACAGCAGCAAATCCCGTCTCGCTGGTCTGGCCGCCCGTGACTCTCTCCGTCTTGAGGCAGGCATGTGTCTCTACGGCCACGACATCTCCACCGCGCAGACCCCTCCCGCCGCGGCTCTTGGCTGGGTTGTCGGTCGTGATCGTCGCGACCCTACCACTGCTACTTTCAACGGTGCTTCCGTTATTCTTTCTCAACTCGCCAGCCCGAAGACTATCCCTCGGCGTCGCGTTGGACTTTCCATTGAGAAAGGCCCCCCAGCTCGCGAGGGCGCTCTCGTCGTGGATATTTCTGACCCCGCGAACCCCGTTGAGGTTGGCGTCGTCACTTCCGGTCTGCCGAGCCCGTCGCTTGGCGGTGCCAACATTGCTATGGGATATGTCAAGCAAGGGCTTCACACGAAGGGTACCGAGCTGGCTGTCAAGGTCCGCAATAAGGTCCGCAAGGCTACTGTTGTCGGTATGCCGTGGATCACCAGCAAGTTCCATCGGCCTCCGCAGTAGAGGATAGATGGTCGACTCTTCTGTGTTTAGATTGTTGGTTTGTGCTTTTTGTTCCTTTCTGGAATGGAGGGACTGGTGTGAAAGACTAGCGTTTCGATGATTTTGTCACTTGGACCTTGTGTATATATGTTTCTGACTCTACGACTGATGCTTCTCATCCATAATCACAAGAGTCTTTTCTTTCTCTTGACCAATTTGTGTTAGCTTTGCTTACACGACAAATTTTTTTCTGAACCATCATCCTGACATTGAACAAGGCGTAGGGAAAAACCTATTCAACCACCAACCCAACAGCCTCATGTGAGAGGTGAGAGCACTTTCGGGGCGAACAATAAAGTTTTGATATAGGGATAAGCCAACTACCGAATGTAATGTAGACTTCCACAGCTATCTCAAGGGGCTCCAACCAGTAGAGTTCCAATTCACTCTACCAAGGCCCCTGTATCTACATGACGATCCCCAGCCTCACGGACCTGATGATCAAGACGCAAGCCGCCAATCTGCCCATCCCCAACAACTTTTTCCCATCTAGGGTCCCTCACGGCCCAATCACCGCTACGAACCCCAGTCTCCCGCGCCAACTAAGGCGGCAAGTCCTCTAATTTAGTCCCCCACTCGCTCTCCTCCTTTCCAAGAACGAGAATTAACTCCCGTCCCTCCGTGAAAAAATCATGGCCAATCCAATTCCTGGTATAAGGCATCCCATCCAGCGTCGCAGACTGAATAAATCCATTCCCCCCAGCCGCACCGCCAGTGGCATTAGGCGTGTTATACTCAGCCCAGTTAACCGTCCTCAGCGTTGCCGTTTTGCCTGTCAACGGAGAAATAACACTAACGGTCTCGAAGAACGGCACCGTGAGTAGATACACGCTCTGGCCTGGGTTCGGGAACAATCCCATCATCGCCATGGCGACGAACGATCCCATTGCGCCTGAGTCGTCGTTGCCCGGTAGCCCGGCCGGCGTGGGTGAGAAGTAGTCTGGGATATAGGTGCGCACGCGGGAAGTGGATTTTGCGGGTCGACCCGCATAGTGGTATTGAAAGACTGTTAAGAAGGCGGGCTCGTTGCCGATGTAGGTTATGTTTTGGTCGTGAAGGTAGTCGAGGCGGGTGACGAAGTTGGCGGGGCCGCCAAGGAGCGTTATTAGGGTGTGCATGTCGTGGGGGACGAAGCTAGGGACTTGCGTTAGAAGGAGTTGGGATGGGAATAGAGATGGACGTAGCGGGGGATTTACAATTGATATTCCCAGATGCTGGATTCAAAGGTTTCGCCTGCGGTGTTTTGCAGTGAGCAGGCGCGTCCACTCTGGTCTATGTTCGAGCATGCGAGGGGATCTTGAACACCCCATGTTCCATTCAGATACTTTGGTTGGAAGAAACCGGTAAAGCCAGTATCCTTGCCATTCCAAACAGAGGTCTGGTCCTGTTTGAATAGGTTTTGCCAGTATCGCGATCGTCGCTCATACCGCTGTGCATCGGCTGTCTTGTTCAGGCCGCGAGCCATTTGCGCGATGGCGAAGTCGTTATAGGAATACTCGAGTGTACGTGAGATACTGCGAGTCATTGTGCCGAATCCCTCGTTGTCGAAGTCTTCTACGGGTATGTAGTGTAGATCCTTCCAGCTGCGAAGACCCCCGCGGCCTTCGCTGGACCAGTCGTAGGGCTCCTCTTCGGCGTCCTTTTGGACAGCGGCATACCCAGCCTCCCAATCAATGCCATCTCTGAGGCCTTTGAGATAGACATCTGCCAGGACATTGTCGGCGTTAGAACCGCCTTGGGTGTATCCTTTGCACAATGACATGCGACAGTCCGGCAGCCAGCCTAGATGGCGCTGGGTATCGATGAGTGAGCGCACCATCTGTATTACCGAGGAAGGGTCGAAGATGGCGAGAAATGGAATCTGAGAACGGAAAGAATCCCACAGACAATAGAACGAATCAAAATAAGGTTCACTGCTCTGCCAGAGTGGGTTCTCGCCTGTGTAATTCTGAGGGTTGATCATAGTCCGGTAGATCCCACTATAGAAATTAGATAGAACGGATGTATCGATGTTTGTTCGTGAGACACGGATTGGACGCATCTTTTCGGACCATTGTTCAACTGCTGTCTGGCGGGTTGCGTTGAAGTCGAAGTGTGGAATTTCAGACTCCGCATGAGTGCAAGCCTGCTCCGTGCTGATGAAGCTGATACCAACTCGAGCGAGGACCGTATTGTCCGGAGCGGACTTGAAGCGGATGAACCCACCACCCTCCAAATCTACGGTCAGCCCTTCCTGTCTGACAAAAGAAAAAAAAACCATTCGTCAACTCACTGGGAGCGGGTACCCATTAATACTGCGCGAGATCTTCAAATCATGGACACCAGCACTAGCACGAGAATTGACAAAGATCCCGCTATCTTTCTGGGCTGCAAGGCTTTTGAAGTCCGCACAGAAATGCAAGACGTACGATCCGGACCCAAAGCTAGGAGCAAATCGCGCATCACCGGTCATACGGCCCGTTAGATTGTCTACCGAGATGGTCGCATTATCCTGACGGGAGTTCGACAGATCTGTGAGATCCAACAAGATCAATGGGCTGGCATTCTGATCGGTTGGAAATTGAAAGCGAAACAGGGACGTGTGGTGTGCAGTTGTCATATCGACCCGGACCCCCGATGCCAGCTCTATGGCAAAATACCCAGGGTGCGCCTGGACCGAGTCTGGCTTGTACTTCGTCTTTCTTTGGTTCTTTGGATAGACACAGCCATTCACATCGTCACCGGCGCATTTTACATAAGCAAAGAGAGGGAAATTGCCTAACGAAGGACTACCACCAGTGCCAGAGTCGTGCATGCTTGAGAATCCGGTGACTCTGCCACCCTCGTAGGCGAAGCCTCCTTGGTTGGATTCAGAGTCTGTGTCCGCGACGGCTTTCGCCATACCATATGGCAGCGAGGCACCTGAAAACACATTTCCTAGGGAAGATTTGGTTGTTGGCATAATGTTAGATGCATTTGTATATCAAACTTACCTCCGTTGGCACTGCCGATCAGGGGATTGATGTATTGTAAGACATCGTAATCGTCAACTGACGGAAGATCTGCAGCAATACCCAGGACGGTGATTGAAAATAGCGACAGTACCCAATATGGCGGCATGGTCTAGGTTGAAGTGAAATGTTCGAGCGCGTCGGGAAGGTCTGGTATTTAGGTAGCTTCATCCCACACCTCCCTGGTATGTGAGCCCCTGGCGATCCCTGTCTGTTGCATTCCGTTCTGCATATTTCCCGTATGTGGATCCGGGGATAGATGTCATATTTCAATTGTAGGGCAAAGTGATGCTGTGAGTTGATTGGTGAGAGTCGTGTACCCGGAATGATAGGATTGAGAAACAGCCCGGAAGAATTCGCTATCTATTTAAATTTTGGACCCAACTTGCTTCAAGAACCTTTCATGAGAAGTTTCGTTCACTGTGAGAATTTTAAAGGAAATTTCCTCATTCCTCATAGGCAGGCCCTGGGTGTCAAGTAAAGGTAAACAATCCCAGGAGCACCACGAAAGGAACATAAGATGAAACCACTGTGTAACGTCTCAAGCTGTGTCGCAGTGTATGAAGTAGAGAATTGCTAGGCGGAGTTTGTATGAAGAAACAATTCACATCAGGGAATGTGCGTTTAAATCTACTCGTCTGTTTCAAATCAATGGGTGCAGTGGACTATTTTGAAACGTCCGAGTTTGATCCGGGGCTTAATTTGACGGGCATTTCTCGAGGGCAGGTTCATCCCAAGTCTCGCGCTAGCGATATGCACCGGGAAATACGCAAATTGAGGATCTTGAATGGTGAATCTGTCAGGGGTGATATCGCTAAGAATTTCTTCCTCCATGACCAACTATTACAATTCGACTATCCAGTTTTGAGTCTGTCATGGCGTCCACTAACCTATCCAACCCAACTTGCACACCAATCCCATTTGCCAGTTTAACCTCCACTCGCAGCTCATCACACAGACACATAATTCCCACCGCAGCATTGACGTCGGTACCCACGATACTTGTGATTTTGATACAAAGCGGAGCACATTGCACGTTTCTCAGCGTCTGCTGTACGACGCACAGTGCCCCCGGGGTCATTGCCTGCGTTATAATGATAGGTAGAGGATCGAAATAGCCCATACGCAGTGAATGCGCCAGCGAATCTGTGCTAGCTGTTTCAACCACAAAAATTCGAAGTTTCTTTCAAATATTTGTCGGTTCATAGGCGGGTAGATGCTCCTCAAGGCCCTTAATGATCCCGTTCAAAAGATCACCGCCAACGCTACAAATGATCGCGTCTGCCAGGAATGAGCAATTGGGGTCGATTTTACCGTCCACTCTCTGCCTCTGAGGTAATTGCTTAATCATTTCATTATCAAGAGTCCCCGTACCTTGCCAATTATCACGGTGATCGAATGGTGGGACAAGAATGGTTCTGCACAAGGGATCTTACTTGCTTTCCACTTTTTCACTGGAAATTTCCCGCAGACAAGCCTCAGCTTTGAACCAACTGGCACCATGGCAGATAAGATCCGAAGCCCCTGCAGCACGTATCTTTTTGATCATGGGTTTCACGCTAAGAGGCATCCGAGTTCCCGAGCGGCTATAACTGCTGCAAGCCCTGCATTGCCTGCCGAAGATCTGAAAAAAAAGAAGAAGAAGGGTTCTCCCACTGTTTGATAGATCAGAAATATATGTAAGGATCAAGTTCACATTGCCCCTAACCCGTATTCGATTCTTTTATTAGATCTTGTTTGACACGTTACAATGTAGGATACCAGACTCACCGTGTTTTGAACGAGCTTGAAAGTTGAAGCAACTCCAACTTGAGGAAAAACGTTACTCAATATCCTCTTCAGTGTTCAGAATGGTTGGTAGGTGAAAACAAAAGGGCAATCGTGCCATCCGGCAACCTTTGAAAGTGTCGCCGACTCGATCAAAGGCGCTTCAATTTAGGGCTTCTCCGATTGTTCGAAGTCGACGTGGCCCATTTTAGAGCGATTCGAGGTGAGAATACACAAACGTCCGAACAAAAATCTCTATAAACTCGGTGGGATAAGCTATGTGCTTTGATGATAGTAATGACGACTCAGACATTGCCTCTAGGTCACCCGGGCAGAGGTGCCTTCTTACAATTTGGTCCCCATCGCTTCCATTAATCTTCGTACCTCTTCACGCTTCTATCTCTTCCCCATCATGTGTTTCCATCTTACTTTTGATTCCGAACACTTAATTGCGTCTACACCAAAGGAATGTCCGTGCTCTGTTGCTGTCGAGTCACTTACCCTTTCAGACGTTGAACGTGGCTTCCGTCTCGTGCAGGTTAGTGATACCAATTGGGCACAGTTTCGAGCTCCATTTAAGATCTCAGATCCCTGCCGCAAGTTTACCTTGAAGGATCCAAGTCTGGAAAGTCTCTAACACTGTCTAGAGCACACTCTGACTCTGCTAGACAACCCTTTGCTCGAGTTACGACTTCGTCTAGGAGTTTTAAAGAGTGATATCCACACCAAGCCACCTGACCAAAATTCTCCTAGCTCACCTCCGATCCCCATCTCGACCGATGGCCGATTTTTCATCCAAGTCATTTCTCTTCAGAGGAGTTCAGCGCTCTCTGCGTGGATTTCCAAGCTTTTCGCTATGGTATGGTCCAAAAAAGAGAGAAGGCCTGGACGTCAATTGGATCATTGTGGAAACACGGATTGGCGAATCTGCCGCCGGCGTACCGCAATGTCTTGCCTTCATGAGTATGGCTCATACTCAAAGTCGGTATGAAGGCAAGATCAACCACCCCATTTTCGGCCTCGCCACAGATAATTATCCATTTCACTTCCTTGTGATTTCGGGTGATGGCAACGTATGAAAACTCCCAATGCTTCCCAATCTTGCGAGACAAAGGCATGTGCTAACCTTTTTATTAGTAGTCCCAGCTACACATGAACCGTTCAAGCCATACTCAGGAGATTGTTGAGACTCTTTCTTATTTTCCACACCCAGGCATCTAGATTATTCGCTTTTTGCCACAGTGGTTCAACCAAGAATGACTCTGAATCTCAAGTAATGAATATCCAGGTAGCCTCACCTGCACACACTGAGAGCTCGTCTGCGAAAGCTTGGTCAGTTTTTCAAGTGAAGGAGACCATGGAAATGACGGACGAGGAAGATGGCTAATGAGAAGTGGTCCGGTGTTTTTTTTTAAAAAAAAAACCTCTTCGTGTGACAGCGGTTGCGATGAATGATAATCCCAAGGTTAGAGAGATGTGCTCCTTCTCGTTTGCCGATTAATTGATAAATAACATAGATTTCCAAGACTTTGAACAGGCATAGAGAACCACTTGCACCACAGCAAACCTCCATGAACCGCATCGTATCAATGGACCTATCCGATCCTAATCAGACGTACGAAAATCACGATTTCACTACTTCAATTCAATTGCCGCCGGCTATTACTCGTCGTAAGATTCCCCGAAACCCCGCCGGCCCCTCCGCCACCGGAAGTTTATAACCAGTCGGCACTCCCAAGATGAGCAGAAACCCTAGTTCAACACGCCAAGATGGTCCTATCAGAAGTACAAAAGGTATTTCACTTGTATCTTCAGCTTGAGGGGGTGAATGACTGACATAAGATATGACACTGAAAAGACAATCAACGAACTCCAGGCTAACTGGATCTGGGTTCCAAACTGGACAGACACTTCAGACGCAAACACAGCTGGCAAGATAGTTGACTTCAGGCGTAAGTTTCTTTTATCGTCGCGATCGCCGAAAGCCGTACTACATTTCTCAGCCGACACGCGTTACAAGCTCTATGTGAATGGGAAGCATGTTGCCGTCGGACCAACTCGCAGCAGCCCTTTGATCTGGTACTATGATAGGCTGGACATTGCGCCCTACCTTAAAGAAGGACAGAATGAGATTCAATTTGTTGTTATCCGGTACTTCATGGCTTCGAGGAGTGCAATGCCCTTTGTGCGGACATCTCTTCCAGGCTTAACAGTCATTGGAAAGATTGAGACAGGCGAGGGGATCGTCGATCTTGCTTCGTCCAAAAATTGGATGGCATCCGTGAATGAAAGCATTCAGTTTCCGATGGGACTAGTTGACGATGTGTTCCTTCATGTAAGACTGGCTCAGGATTGAAGCCCTCCTGGCGAACTCCAGTGACAGTTGTTTCATAGATCAGCGAGCGCATTACTCCTACAGACCCCAGTCCCGCTGTGACACCGTGTATCTACACCATCAAGACGCTCAATGGCGATATCCCGCCCTGGAATCTGCGTCCACGCTCTATCCCCACGCCCGAGTCAACGCCAGCTGTTGTAAAAACGATCAGAACATGCAAGAGTTCGGTCGAAGCTAGCAACTGGATAGCCCTCTTTTCAAATAATCACTCTTTCGCCCTTCCTGCGACCTCAACTCATACGCTTGAAGTGCAAGCGGATGTCCATTCGACCGCATTCCTCCGATGGGCTTTCAAGGCAGCCAAAAGCCCTTCTCAAATTAAACTCAAAGTTACACACTCAGAAGGCTACGAACTTGAGCCTCGATCATACCCTTTCTTCCGCTCCAAGGCCGACCGACTGAATGCAACTGTCGGTCACATTATCGGACCATACGATGAGGTGACACTTGATCTTCCCAACCCTGAGACTGTTATCTACGAGCCATTCTGGTTCCGAACCTTCCGACTCTTGAGGATTGAAATCACCGTCGGCCCTGAGCCAATCGAGCTGGTTTCATTTGATGCTACCCAGGTCAACTACCCCATGGCTGTTAAAGCCAGCTGGAAGGAGCCCGGCGATTCCCACAGCGAGCAGATCTGGAATGTCTCCATTCGAACAATGCGAAACTGCATGTTCGACGGCTACTCTGACTGCCCTTTCTACGAGCAATTACAGTAAGCTTTCCACATCCCCGAATCCATATCACGGCTAACGATCCAGATACTCCGGGGACAGCCGCTCCGTCGGTCTATTCCACTACCTCCTCTCAGGTGACGACCGACTAATGCGCCAAGCCATCACAAACTTCGCCGCCTCCGTCACACCCGAAGGCCTCACACAGTCTCGCTTTCCCTCGCACGTACCGCAAGTGATAGCCGGGTTCTCTCTGTATTGGATCCTGCAGGTCTGCGACCACCACCTATACTTTGGCGACATGCGCTTTGCGCGAAGCTTCCTCCCGCGCATCGATGGTATTCTCGACTTCTTCGATGCCCACGTCGACGAGTTAGGTCTGATCAGTGGACTTCCTGAGGTTGTATGGCAATACGTTGACTGGGTGACGACGTGGGGTGCCACAGACGACCATCCCGACAAAGGAGTTCCAACCTCCGGACGGACATCCAACCGACATACTTATTTCAGTATGTTGTATGCGTGGGTTCTGCAAAGGGTTGCTGGTCTGGTGCGCGACGTTGGTCGGCCGGGACATGCTGCTGAATACGAAGCGAGGGCGGAATCGCTCATAGGGGCTATCCGGGCTCATTGCTATGATGGGCAATTCTTCACTGACTCGACGGCCGATGTTGCCGATGAGCTGTCATATTCTCAACACTGTCAGGTCTTTGCTGTGATCTGTGGAGCGGCCAAGACCGAGGATTCTGCGCGGATCATGACTGAATCCATAACGAAGGAACGCTTCTCACAGTGTTCGTATATGATGCGGTTCTATGCTTTCCGCGCACTTGCTTTGGCCGGCGAGGATTTGTACGACTCGTTTTGGGCGATGATGTGGGCTCCGTGGCGGAGGATGCTGGCGAATAATCTGTCGACTTGGGAGGAAGACGATGTCAGACAGAGATCTGATTGTCATGCTTGGGGGAGTGTGCCAATTTATGAGTACTGTACTGAGCTGGCGGGTGTTCAACCAGTCGCTGCTGGTTCGTCGAAGATATCTTTCAGGCCTAGGCTTAGGTTGACGGAGGTGTTGGACGCCAAGGTAGCGCTTGGTAAGGATAATTTGGCTACAATCTCGTGGAAGCTCTCTGGAAATAGGAAGCTTGTGGAGCTTAGGCTTGAGAAGGCGGTTGAGGTTGTTAGCCGATTGCCGGGAGGCCAGGATGAAGAACATGGGGTGGTCGATCATCTCAGCTTTGTTTTTAAGGACTGAAATGCTACATGTAGGAATCAGCTGTCCGTTTGTGTCTTTTGGGGTCAATTGAACAGGAAATCAATAAGAACAGAGCTATCTCCATAGTCATATGCTGCTTTGTTGCAATGCATCGTTGAAAGCAGGGCATTGAACTCCCCAAAAATCCTCGGACCACAAGTCAGCGTGGTCGGCAAAGACAGGAAGAGCGGATTTTGTCAATTTAGACAATTCGAGCTGAAATGTATTCATTGATCGTACGATACTATTGTTGTATACAGCACTCGGCCAGACACAATGGAATAGTTTGCATCCCGGTGAAAGAACATTGGAAGAGATACAATAACATCATTCAATTCGAACATCAAAGATCCTATAACCGCACTATTCCACTTGGGTCGCTGATTTTTGCTTACACTTAAGCTGTGACTCCCATCTCCTGGTCCTCCCGTTGCTCATTCGAGCGCAGCTGCACTTCGGTGACATACCCCTTGAACTTTCGAAGGTTGACCTTCTTCTCGAACCTTGAAAATGGAAAGTGTTAGCTTGGTCTCTTCAGATTGGGTCCACGATTGACAAACATCTCATCAATCTCAGCTGGTGTTCGGCGTGTCACTTCGGGGAGAAGGAACCAAGCGATAATTACCGCAATTGTCCCTGTACCTGCAAAGCTGTGAGAGAAGCCACTTGTCAGTACTATGCAGTGGGAAATAGGACCTTAACAAGACGGTAGAAGACTAACAAGAAAGCCGTTTTGACACCCCAGTGGGAGACCGGTGCATTGTTGATCATCAAAGGCGTGCAGAAACTGAACATGATAGCAACCAAGTTCGAAGACGCGAGAGCCCAACCGGCTGTCTTTGCACGCAAGCGTTGCTGAGGAATCTCAGCGGCGTAGGCATAGCCAATAGCCGATGCACCAGTGGTGGACAACGTTGCCAAACATGCGAAGAAGATCTGGGCCCTAGAGTGAGTAAGTTGGCAACGATGTGCTGGAACCTTAAAGGACTGACCAGAAGTGAGCTCGTTGATGGCTTAGTATAATCGAAGCAGCCAATAATTCCGAGGCACAAGACTGACACCGATGTTACCGCATAGGGGTAGATCGTCAGCGGACGACGACCAAGCTTGTCCGTGGTGGCGGCAGTCAATAGCATAGAGAGTAGCTGGACACAAGACAGAATGACCGTGACCGTGAATGGGTCCTTGTTACCCGCATATTGAACTATTGTGATATGAGCAGCGTGGAAACAGAGGACGAGACGATGAGGACTCACAGAAGTAGGTGGCGTACGTGTTAAACACGGACAGACCGACAAACTGCTGGGCAATCTTGGGCCACGCAGCAATTAAAAAACGAAGGCGATTGCGGCCCCGGAAAACAGCCCATGGTCCCTCTTCCGCATTACGCCCTGCGATGATACGCTCTTCCGCAACTGTGGCTGTCATGACTTCCTGAAGAGAATGTGAGCACTTCATCTGAACATGAGCGATAGGGACCAGTAACCCACAATCTGTTCGTCGACACTGTATCCCTCAACCTTGCGGTTGCACCAAGATAGAATGGTGGCTGCCTTTTCCGTCTTTCCTTTGCTCACGAGCCACCAGGGTGATTCGGGGATAAAGACGAAGATGAACAGAATGATGCCCACCATAGCCCACTGACGGGAAAGCAGGAACTGTCAGTGATCTCTTTTCCCCATTAAAGTCAAACGAGAGACACCAACCTGGGTATAGATAGGCACTCGGAATTGATACGGGTCCTTTTCGCTGAGTTCCTTCAGGGCCACCGAGGCGAAGATCTGACCAACCACAAACCAGCTGGAAAGAGTCAACCATCTAAAACTGTCAGAGTTGCTACACTCTCAACTCACAAACTATACGCGTTGATATAGAACCCTCGCAGCTGGGTTGGGGCGATTTCCGACAAGTAGAGAGGCAAGGTGGATTGCAGCATCCCAACACCCATTCCCGAGAAGAGTTTCGCTGCGAGCCAGTGATCCCATCTGGTTGCAAAGGACTCAATAAACACGCTGATCACAATATCGAGCCAGATGATATAGAACGCGATTTTCCGACCGAACTTTTCCGTGGCGTATTGGAGGAGCTGGAGAGGAGTTAGTCGCTTGCCAGCGGAAGAAGGTCTCGCGGTCCAAAACGACGTACGACTTGACCGACCGTTTGACCGGCGGATTGCACACCACCCCAGGCGGAGATGTATTTGCCTGCGATGATCGATGTGCCCGGAGAAGCCATCTGTCGAATGAACCCTTTGTTGGAGACAATACCGCCATTCAGGTTGATTTCTGTGGGGACCAGATCAGCGTGTGTCAAAAGTCAACAGGCCACAGCAGTAGCTTACGGTACCCATCCAGCGATGCGCTAAACGCCGCGGTCATGGCAATCAGCGACACGGTGTGGAATCGTCGTACACACTGCCAGACACCCAGTTCGTCTTCGCGAGATCGCATGACGGGCCCCATGCCCTTGGTAGGCATGACATCTCCATGCTTGGACGCATCCTCAATGGTTTCAGCGCTGGCCTTGGGAACATCCATCTTCATCTTCAAGTAGGCTAATGAGGGGTCCCAAGAAAGGAGGAAACACGTTCTGATCAAAGCAACGATGATAGACCGGAAAATTTTTTTTTTAAATATTTACAGCACCTGAACTGGGTTCAGAGCGCTAGCTCGCAACTCCCTTACTCGAGGTGTGAACCCCAACTCACAATCCAGACTCCACAAAACTAAATTGACGTGGTTCATTTGCCGACTCGCTAATATAAAGGTGCTGATAGGTTGTTTTGGGGTACGAGTGGCTGGTTGGCTTGGGGATAAATTATGCTATAGCGCAGTGGATGCCCGAATCAGCGGCAATTGCTTCGGTCTGGATTATACCGAAGCTATTAGCTGGTGGCTGACTATCAGCTATGTGGCCAGTACGAAGTACATGTGGATATATTCCGATGAGACATGTTCCAAGGTTTCAAAGCTTATACTGGTCTCGAGGTGGAGGTATCCTTGCCCACGACAGCCTCGAGTACTATACGGATGCACGCACTGGTAGTTTTTCTTTCAAAATCACCCAACCAGTAGATTTGAGAAGAAGCTTTAACCTCCATACTAACAATTGACGATTACCGAGTAGCATCGGTATTAGTCGCCAATTAAATAGCATGTGCATGTACATGTACATTAGCGTAGTTCTCAGCCGAGTTGTCGAGGGAGGGTAGTTGGATGGTGATGTCCCTAATAACTGCAACCCTCGCAGAATTAGGGGAATCACTCTAGAGAAGCTCATTCAATTGACTTGACTACTGGCAGAGTACACCGTGGATGTTCCAAACGAATCTTTCATATTGCGTTGAGTGCACGGGCGTCTAACCCCCGCAACCTCCCCGCCCTAACTAGCGAATCCCTGGTGGCGTAGCGCCTCGAGGGGAAAAAAAAACTCAACCCCCGCATTCCATTCCCAATCCTCGGACTTTCCGGGCAAAGTCTGCCCCTAGCTCCTGTGGAGGAAACCCAGGACCAAGTAATTACAGGTAAACCAGAAGTGCTTCGGAAGCGGCAACCGTGAAGGTTGCTTTCCCGCCAGAGACAGTGACGGTCTCCACGCTCTCTTTACCCTGAATAGTGCAAGTGCCATTGGCAAATGTCTGGCCAGCAACGGTCGGGTTCTGGCCCTGATCGACCCGAGATGTCGCGGAAGGGGCAGTCAGTCGTTTAGCAGTGAGACTGGCGGACGAAAGCCCAGACAGGGTGTAAATCTGGGACGAACGCGTTCCGCTAGTAGAGATATAGTAGTCTGAATTGTAGAGTAGGACCCTTACCGGGGTTCCGGCTGTGTAGATGGCGTAGGCCGCGTAGGCGGTATCCTGGCTATCTAGAGGTGCAATCTGATCGGCGTGGGCGAGTGTCATGGTCGCAAAATAAGCGCCGTAGTAAGGGGAACCTATGTTGTAGCGGCCCCACCAGCAGTATTGGCCTTGGGAGTGAAGTTAGACCGGGAGACGACGATGTCAAAATTGCTGACCATCTTACAATTTCCAATGGTACCGTGGTGGAAATAGAGGGCATTTGTGCCCTTGACGACGGTCTGCATCACGTAGTCCAGAATCCAGAGACCAGCCCCAAAAGTCGGGCTAATGCCACCACCACCTTGGGTTGCTAGATGTTTGTTAGCCTTTCCAGAAAGGGACACGGAACAGTAACAGACCGGAGTTAGTCTCGCCGAAGATATGCGGCTTGCCTTTGCCAGCAGCAGCAGCGATCTCAGAAGCGAAAGGCTCAATCTGGGTGGCAATCTTGCTGTGTTCCATAAGTTTGGCCAGGTTGTAGGAGCCCGCTGATTGCGGATAGTTGTGAGAACAATAATCTTTCACATAATCATTCGCATCCCCTTCTTTTGCGGTGAGGCCTACGAGGTTCATGGGTGAAGTGCCAAAGTAAACACCTGCTGAAATGAGATCAGTTGCAGAGAGATTTCCGCACACCGCATCTTGCCAGCTCACTTGGGATGCTTCATCAACTGCCGCTGTCCAGGGGTTGCCATTGGCAATAGGATCGCTGTCAACGAAAACTGCCCGTTCACTTAGCCTTTACCCAGCCAAGGGGAAGGGAGTCCAGTCCTACAGGTCGGCTCATTTCCCAGTTCAATGGAGTACAGGTTGTCCATTTGGCGCTGGACGAGACGTGCGGCCGCAATGGTGTTCGAGAGATCATCCAATCGGCGATTCAATCCCATAATGACTTCTCCGGCGTAACTTGCCGCCAACGAAATAAAGGATGGGCCGTAGGTCAGAGTCGCTGGCGCAGCACCGGCGCTGGCCACTTTGTAGGTGACAGCCTCGGTCGATGAGCTATCATACGTCGCCCGATCCCTGCGTAGTGTGAACAACAGACCTTCCCCCACAAATGGTCAAACTTACTGAGTCGTGCCTCCGATTCTCAACGGCGGCCATGTTCCGGTCAAATCCTTCAGGTTCTGCAAACAGGTCTTTGTTGATTCGACATGTTGAATGTATTCGGGAAACGCAAAGAACTCCAGACTTCACAATGAGTAAATCGATCCATCAAAAACGTGGATGGCGACTCACGATACGCCAACGGGGGCTGCAGATAGCTGCTTACTCGAATTGGAAGGCGGGGATGCCGGAATATTGAAGCTCAAGCTCGAAGCCGAAGCCACGACGCTCAAAAGTGAGGCTGCGATGGGGAGAAAAGGCATGACTTGGAAGATCTTCGGATACTGGATGAGTTGGTTGTAAACTTGGAGACCTTTCTCCCAGCCTGGGTGAAGCTTTTTAAGTATCCATGGACTAGATCATGCAACCCGGTCTCTACGGGGAAACAATCCGGGGCACTCCGCATTCCAGCCGCTAGTTTCATGTCACTTTTGTTTCCGTGTCGAATGATAGGTGCGCCTTGCTTCTGTCCTTGAAACATAGGCATTCAGTGACACCGCCGATTCAAATTTGACCCATCCACATCCAGGAGTCGGCTATTGGCGGGGGACATTAACCCGAGTCCTCACTGTGAGGGTTTTCGCAAGCTTAGGGTCTCAAGTACCTCTTCAGACACCGAATCCTCACTTCGCCTTTTTTACCCTCAACGTGTAGAACTCTGGCAGGAACATGACCAATTGATCAGATGGTTGATTGAAGTAATGAGCTCCTCTATTTCCAGGGATCTGTTCTGAGCCTTTTACCGGGAGTGGATGCTTCCTGTAGGAGCCGATTATTCGTCAGAGTTGAGTCCCCGAACACCATCAAAATCACTTGGTGTATGCCTTTTTCCGTTGGCGGTTGACGTGACGGGCTAGCAGCCCCGGTGCGGTTGATCAAGTCCAAGGCGAGAGTAGCTGGATGCCGCAATTACCACACAAGACAGGTGGTCCATACTCAATTGCTGCCATCGTATGCAGACTCATGGGAAAGCGGATCCCAACGACATCCCCATTGGTCTACGTGCACGAGAGGTGAGTCTATTTTCCGGACTGAGCTCTAAAGATCGAGTAAGCGTTTCCATTCCACGTCAGCGTTACCCCGGATGCCCACGCAGGGATACGGGCATTCATCGTTCATTCACTGCTGCCGAAGACTACCAGTTTCGTTCCATCGCCGACAAGGGAGGTCGCAGATCTTTTCACTGCAGTACCCATCTCCGGCCCCTTCACACAGAAATCGACGTATTGCTGAATACAGCCGAGGTATGATAAACGTCGAGTGAACTGATCAACTTAATTTTCTGTTCGAGTGCCATTCCTTCATAGCACCTACATGAGCCGTAATCCGTGTCCAAGGACCGCCACCCTCGGCGGGACTGACACCGCGGCGACCTCTGGGGAGCGGGGTCCAGTCAGTGCGATAGCCCTGGTTTTTACTACGATCTGATTGACCCAGCAGATGTGTTAGCCAGACGGTTTTGTGGAAAGCCAAAAATGCCAAGTTCTCCGAGTCCATGAGCCACAACTCGCGGGTCAGCTCAAGCATGTTGTCGGAATGTCATTCTTCACACGTGTCATCAAGCTAAGCAGTAGTAGCATTTGGAGCATAGAAGTGTTCACTTTAGCTACGACCGATGGCGTACGGCTGTGATTTGATCTTGATGTCGAAGGCACGGGGGCAATATCAATCAAGTCAACGAACGTAGCGATGGGTTTCGGCAATCTATCTTGTTACAAGGCTAGTTGCAGAATTACAATTTCCCAAGGAAAACCTCTGACCTCTAATTGGCCTTTTTAATAACCCGATCATAATATCATCCATGTCGGATGAGAACCCGAGAAGTTGTGAACCTGAAGATCTAAGAGAAGAAGAGAAAGATGCCGAGGTAAAACTTCACCGAAATCCACTTCGCGCCCACTCAGTTTTCCCTTTACCTGCTGGAGCTCTCAATTTGGAATTGTGTGCAATGATCGCAATTTATTTTTTACTATGTACCGTCGATCTATAACTTCTCTTCCTCATTCTCTTCGCACTATTGCCGTACCCCCCCGACTCTCTCCTTTGCGACCCCTCATCCACTCCCCTGCTCCGAAGCGACCCTATACCCGGTCCTACTCTACCGGTAAGTTCAAAACGTTCATGAACAGCCTGATCCTTTCCCACATAAGAACTAATCCGGTGCGGATAGCACCGAGTCCTGCTCCTCAACCTCCTAACGTGCAGCGGTCTCGTCTCCGCCGCTTCATCGGCTTCACCTCTATCGCCATCTTCGCCTTCGCCGCCGGGCTAACGTACCAAACCCAACAAACCCTCTCACGCATCATGGCCACCCCAACCGAAGAGGAGACCCTGACTGCATTCATTGCCACCGACCCCACGATTGTGACGATCGAGAACACAATCCGCACCCACCCCGTCGCCGAGGCCCTCCGGGCAAACCCCGAATTCACCGAATCACGGCCACACCTCACCATCCCGGAGCCTATGCGGGAACGCAACCTGACAGCCGGAACGCTCGCTGGGCCCGGGAAGATTGTCGTGCCGCCATATGTATTCAGTGAGCGCGGGGGCAAAACCATGGTCTCACTTATGTACCTGGGCGGTGATGTCTGCGGTCACCAGGGGATTATTCACGGCGGTCTACTGGCTACGTTATTGGATGAGGGTCTGGCGCGTTGTTGTTTCCCGGCTCTGCCGAACAAGGTTGGTGTTACGGCTAATTTGAATATTGATTACCGGGCTCCGGCTATGGCGAATCAATATGTTGCCCTCCGTGCGGAGACGGTCAAGGTCGAGGGTCGCAAGGCGTGGGTGGAAGGTCGAATTGAGACTCTGCCGAGGGATGGAACAGAGCCTGTGGTTTTGGTGGAGGCGAAGGCACTGTTCATTGAGCCTCGGCAAGCTGCTGTCAGTTGAAACTTCGCCCCCCCCCCCCCCCCCCCTTCCGTTTGGTTCCAGTGGCTAACGTCTTCAGGCGCTTTCGAGTCTTTACAAAGTGGCGTGATTGGGAGATTTGTATGAAATTTCAGCATTTGGTTCCTGTTCCTGTTCCTGGTTCCTGGCGTCATGGCGTCATGGCGAAAACCAAAATGATTGGATCTCTGATAGTGGAAATGGGTTTAGAATTGAGTGTGAAGATGGGATTTCTGAATCAAGATACAGACCCTAACAAGGACTATGTAAATAGATCGAAAGACTGTACACCAAGTGATCTCAATATAAAAGAAAAAAAAAACAAAAAACCCCCCCAAAAACGCCAACCAATGGCAACACCCCGCGATGATAACATCTGTGACGCATTTCAATACCCCTCTTATTTCTTGTCGGCATGTCAATTTTCTTTCTCTTCTTTTGAAATTTTAGATCCAACATGTCTACGTAAGTTCTAACCCTTGAAGGCCAATTTTTCTCCCAAATCTAACCCCATACCAGCAACATCACCTTCCATGCCAGCGCCCTGACCCGCACCGAGCGCACCGAGCTGCGCAACCAGCAAGGTCTCACAATCTGGCTGACCGGACTCTCCGCCTCAGGCAAGTCCACCCTCGCCGTTGAGCTCGAGCACCAGCTTGTTCGCGACCGCGGTATCCACGCCTACCGTCTGGATGGCGACAACATCCGCTTCGGACTGAACAAGGACCTTGGCTTCAGCGAGGCTGACCGTAACGAGAATATTCGTCGCATTGCTGAGGTTGCCAAACTCTTCGCCGACTCCAACTCTATTGCCATTACTTCTTTTATCTCTCCCTACCGGAAGGATCGTGATACGGCCCGTCAGCTGCATGAGGCGGTCACCCCCGGCGAGGAGACTGGCCTGCCTTTCGTTGAGGTCTATGTTGATGTCCCTGTTGAGGTGGCTGAGCAGCGTGATCCCAAGGGCCTGTACAAGAAGGCTCGTGAGGGTATCATTAAGGAATTCACTGGTATCTCGGCTCCTTATGAGGCGCCTATCAACCCTGAGGTTCATGTGAAGAACTATGAGCTTCCTGTTCAGGACGCTGTCAAGCAAATTATTGATTACCTTGACTCCAAGGGTTACTTGCCTGCCAAGAAGGAGTAAGGGGATTTCTTCTTTCTTTTTTTTTTTTCTCTTTTGCGATGGGGGATTGGGATGTGAGATTTGACGGATGTACCCATGGTTTGGCTATAGATAAAACAGTCCTGTACAGCGGATTGGATATGGTGTTTGTGTGCTTGATTCCTCTCCAGCTTGCTGCACATACCGCGTGGACAATCAAAGATCGCTCTTGCACATTGCATTCATGAGCCGGGCTGGGAATCTGCAAAGAGATCCCAAATCTCAGTTTGCTAAATGCGTGATCATTGAAACGAAGAAATAAATAATATCCAATGCCAGTTCGTGCTAGATGTACCAAAGTGGTTTATGTACGCAACGTCTTCGCGAAGCTTTGTATCTCCCGCGATGCCTCGCAAAACAGGAAACCTTAGTTGAAGCCGAATTCATAAAACACATACGGCGTGTAGTCTGCGCTACCCTCGCCACCGGGGTGAATCTCACCAGGATCATCCCGTTGCATACGACCCTTCTTGTCCCGCCCAAAGGCATTGCCTGCCAAATACGAGTACTTATTCTCGAGGTTTTGCTTGGCGCGGTCCGCTTGTTTGGTAGTTTGCGTCTGTAGAAAGCAATGTCAGCCCTTGCTACGTGTAAACCCCCCAACGAAAGGCAGAGCGGAGAGAAGATAAACATACCCGGACCAAAGCGCAGACGAAATCCAACGGCAATCCATACCGCAGCACCGTCTCGACAAACACTCTCAGAACCAAAATGTGAATCCAGACCATAACAGCCTCACTCCAAGCCGTGCGACCGAGTCGCAAAGTCTCACCCCATACCTTACGCTCATCACCACCGACACGCTCAACCTCCTTGCGCTCCTCCTCCTTTCCACCTTCGACGTACTTAAAATCGCGCGGGATCCACTTCTGCTCACGGCACTTATGCACGAACTCGGCGCTGTGCTTCTTGAACGCTGTCACAGCGTAAAGCGTGAATTCGCTGTCGGAGGCGATCAGCTGCGCGGACCGTGGGACCACCATTGGCGCGACGGTCTCGTAGGTCTTGAGAAAATCTTTTACTAGCTGGGCGGGCACGGCGACGAGGTGGGTTTCGATATATTCGGAGTCCTGGATGATGGATTTCGGGTCGACCACTGAGGCGAGGGACTTGGTTGAGAGATTGCCTCTGTGTGGAGCGGGTTAGTTCATATGTGTTTCGCATGCTATATACACACGGCGCAGTCTCGATCGCAGGTTGACGTACGTTTGCTTACGCTGCAGTGTGGAAAGCGTATTCTTGACCTGGTTATATTGGGAGTACTTGAAACGGATATCGTTGTCGATGCTGGCCGCTTCCTATAGTGGACAAAAAGGTTTAGAATTTTAACTCCAAGCACTGCAAGCCCAGAGTGTCTATACGCAGCACAACATACCTTCTGCAGAAGATCAATCAGCTCGGCCAAGGGCTTATCGGCCCTGTATTTGACTTTGTTCCATTGGAAAGTGCGCAGGTACTGATCAACTGGCTCTGTAGGCAGTCAGAACCTAGAACTCCAGAGATTTATTTTCAAACGCTGTGATTCCCTTCCACAGCTAGCTCAATAACAAGTTAGAGACATACTGTCATTGACAACCTTCATCTGCTCAATCTGCGCCTCGTCCTCCAGGATATTTTTCAACGCATCGCCGACCTTGGCGACGACACTCTGACAAGAAGCCTCGAGCTTGGACAGCTCGTCCGCCTGCTGGACAAGGGCATCTAGCGTGCCGATCTTGAACTCCGGGATTGGGAAGGAGGTGGTGGAGCCATTGTCCGGGGAGACGGTGGTCGTGACAGCTTCGAGGGCGTCATCGCGATGGTGCGAGGGGACGATAGAGGCCGGGAGAGAAAGAAGGAGGTATTTGCTTGGTTTAGACATGATAGATTGTGTATTCAGGGAATTCAAGGGCCTTCAACGAGGCTTAAGAGCGGTTTCGGGGTTGAGGGGCGGAGCTCGGGTGGCCTTGATGTCGTAGGCGGTGGGTGTGCTTGGACCAGCACGTCCGTCGTGCACATATAAATCTACAAGAATAGTCACGTATGCCTCTATCACGGACGTTGAACTTGGGGAATCGGATCGCGTTGGCTGGAAATTGCTCGAAAGACATTACAATCTCTGTAGGTTCATCTTAAATTGGTAAAAGTCATTGCAACAAGCGTAGAACCCCCGAAAGGCGCAACTCCCATCGACTTTTCCAGACATTCCCGGTGACAATGTTTCATGATCAAAAGAAAAAACATCATAATATCATACTGTAAAAACCTAACTAACGTATAAGAAGACCATAGCAGCTACTAAGCACATCAAGTGAAGTGCTGTATAGAGATGCATAACGCTAGAAGACGATTCAATGTTCGCTCGGAGTCAGAAACAAATAAAACATCAACATGCCTCAAAGGGCAGCGAGTGAACCACCTATAAAGAATTTTGGTCACCGGAATAGCCAGTGAGACTAGATTCAAGGACAGCCAGAGTTGGAGAATTCAACTAGCTTTGAATCCGCAGAATATGTATGGAAAGGTTGGGCATGAAGAAAGAGAGAAAAAGGGGAACCAGGGTATTTGCATCGAGCGGACAGCGCTGATCATGAACCGAGCGAGGAATAAGGAGCCGAGGGTAGGGGAAGTAGTGGTACCTGTACAAAACATAGAGGAAGGTGACAAAATTTCCAAAAAGACCAGGTAGGGATTGATGAAACAACAATTCATGTTTCGACATCTCGCCCAAGCACTGGGACAATCGAAGCATGGCAGTGGGATTATGAAATTGGTGTGATGGTGAGAGCTGTAGAGGAGAAATGCTTCGAGCCTAGCCCTGCATGCCCATGAAGACATCATGGCAGTTCTCCACCAGGAACTTGAGGACGTCATTTTTCTTTTGGACATCACTCATCTCACGGGAAAGACTCTCAGGTCGCATGATAGTCGGCGCAAAGACCACTGCAACGTTCTGACTCGTCATCAAATTCTCTTCGTGGCGCTCGACTACGCGTCTGAGATGGAAGACGAGAAACTCCAGGACGTCGCGGTGCACACGAGGCAGCTCGAGGAGACTCTTTTGCATGAGTTCAATTCGCGCGGACATAGGGCTGACCTCGGCAGAATCTATCACAAGTTCGTAAACTTCGTAAGTGATCAGTGGGTTAGGAAGCTTTCTGAAATACTGCTTCAAAGTGGATGTGACAGCATGGATATCGAGGTCAGGGTCGGAAATGTCGTAATCAAATGGAGAGCATTCAAAGCCTTCGCGAATGGTCTGAATGACTGAAGCGGCACCAGACTTGCGATAGATGCCTTCCATGTTCATTCCTGGTTATTTTTGTTAATATAACGAGCGACCGAGTAACGAGCGACAAGAAATACCTCGCAATTCAACTTCCTGGATACATCGCGTGACTATGGCTGGAATGATGCTCTTTTCGTGTTCCATGCGAGCCTCAAGTTCGGTGCCGAAAAGAGCTGGAAAAAAATTAGCCTATGCTGATATCAGCTTGAATGAGGGCATCGGGCGTATACCATCGGCGGTAGCTTCAGCCAACACGGGCACGCTGTCAGCCTGTGACATCTTTCCCCCCTGCTTGCCCTTCTGATTTCCAAAGAACCCAAACCCTTGGCGACTCGGGTCTTGAGTCTGGGAACGCGGTATACCATTTCCACCCTCTTGTGCCTGTCCGCCTTCGCTAGACATAAACGCTCCCTTGAGACCCTTGACACCCTTGGCAACATTCTGTCCACCCTTCTTCCAGTTAAACTTGCGAGGCTGACCCTTGCGAATGCTGACAACCTGAGGGCCTGGGACAACGGTAGCTGTAGCAGGCTCAGAGTCCTCCGAAATGTGAGCAGTAGACATAGACCCATGATAGTCGTTGAAGGAAGGTTTCATCACTTCAATAGAGTGTGTCGATCTCTGTTTGCTGTGCGAAATGCCAAGACCGTTAGGTCGCGGTTGACCTTCCATGGCTTTGTAGAGTTCTTGGATCTGGTGAACCAACTGGTTGTTCAACTCAGCTAGCTGAGCGTTCTTCATAGACAATTGCTCGAATTCCTGGAAGCTCTTTTCCTTTTGAGTTCTCATAGCTTCCAGTTCATCCGTGAGTTCATTGCGCTTCTGCATAAGCTCTTCGATTTGCGGGGCAAACGAGTCTTTCAGTTTTTGAATGGACTCCGCCAGCTCGCGCAGTACATGGTTCGAGAGTTTGCCAAGATCCAATGGCCCACTGGGGCCACCACGCTTTTCAGCCTCCATATGGTCAGTGAGAACGGTGAGCTCACGCAGAACGATCTCACGCTGCGCATCAAGGACGACCATGGTAGATCGCTTCTCAGAAAGCTCGGTGTTAACTTGCTTGACGGCTGCTGCGGTACGAGCGGCTGATTCTAGTTCTGAAACACGAAGACGTTCCTTCCGCAGTTCGTTACGAAGCCAGGAGATCTCTTCACTCTGTGACCCTGCGATGGGACTGCCAACATCCGTCCCGGCTATGCTTGGATTGCTAGGCGATCGAGGGTTCTTGAGATCTTTGCTCATCCGCACACTCTTCTCGCTGAAGCTTCGACCGTGGCGAACGGAGTTTGAGACGCGTCGCAGGAATGACTCGTTATTTTGCCCAACAATGTCATCACCACCAATGATGCGCGATAATTCTTCGTCCATAGAGAAGTCACCTCCGCTGTTATATCGTAGCAAAGTCGATGCGCCGGCGCCATCGTATGGGTGTGATTCTAGTGGTGATGTTTTCAAGGCAGTAGGTTGAATGGGCTGTTCGAAAGTGTCACTACGGAGCATGGGGGAGTCCCCGTATTGCGATGATGCAGGAGATGCCCCGACTTCTTTCCTTGGAATTTGGTGAAGCTTGCTTTCAAGTGAATCGCCGCGCTTCGGCAAATAAGGCAATCCAGACGTTTGGGAGCGCGGTGAGTCCATTGAACCATGGTCATGGAAATGACGAAGCTCGCTTGAGGAATGAGCAACAGCCGGAGTGTCGGAGAATTCCTTTGATCTACAGCTATCTGGACTGGTAGGCCCAGAAAGATTGCCCATTTCTCTGAAGCTGATGGGTATATCAGACGATCTGCGTGTAGAACCCTCCTGTGCAAGCTTGGACGAATCAGAGGCTGGTAATGGTGTTTTGTCGGAAAAATTGGCGTCGTTTCGTTCCCAACCTTTCTCCTGATACGCAATATGGGGCGAATGGCTTTCCAGGGATGTTCGAGAAGGGGGCTCTTGCATGTATTCACGGCCGTCGCGAGAGGCCCCGTGTGAGTATTCGGATTGAACTTGGTTGAAGTAGTCGTGGGAAAGTTCCTGCCGTGTCTGGGAGTGACCACGAGACGAATTACCCTCGGCCGAAGGATCAAAGGCAAGAGGGATCAATAATTCACCACCATCTGCGTCAGTGTTGCGTAGAATTGAATGACGATTGCTCCGGTATGTGCTGGAGGGAAGGAGAATATTATCTGTGCGAAGATATAAGTAGGAATTCCAGAATGCAATGTTTATCTTCGCATAGATCCCGCGATCACAACAATAAGTACAAGCGGTAGCGACAATTGTGTGTAGAACAAAAGAGAGTGGTGCATGAATCACGCAACATGACCACAATGCGACAATAGGCAACAAAGTGTAGGCTGCGATGATTGTAAACCTAAGCCGCAAAAGGGGTTTCTTACCTGAATCAGCCTGCTGATTAGAAATTGAGCTTCTCGGTCTTTCATCGTTTAGATTAGGCGTTTCCGACATTCTACTAGGGTCGGGCGTGCCTGTATATTCGCTGGTCTCCTCGTCCACTCTCTGCGATTCTTCGAGAAGGTGAGGGGGCAACGAGGGCAAAGACTTGTCCAGCTTCACATTAGGCCCCGCTGGTTTTTTCCCACCCGTGCCGCCGGCTTTCCGTTTTCTTCTTCGTGCCATGAGCGATTCGTGGCATTCCATGCAAAAAATACCCTGCGAAGTACGCGCATAGCGCAAGTTCTCAATCTTTCGTTTGCAGTTCCGGCATCTGAAGCATTGAGCACAGAAAGCCTGATCTCCCGTCAAGATGGCCAAATCCTCGATCTTGTTGTTGCAGGAGCTACAACTGTAGGTGCAATTACTGCATATAAGTGAGCCATCTCCCAAAAGGAGGAGGTGCGCGTCTGAGTCAAGCAGAGTGCTGCATGTGCTGCATCGGAAACAGTCGATGTGCCATCGGTTTCCAGCTGTCACAGGTTAGCGACATGAGAAAACGGTTAAAGAAAACGCAAATATCCGACATACCAAGCTCAAATGCTTTCCCTTCCTCAAGAGTCTGTCGCGACAATTAGTCAAGTTCCTGCCCGCTTGCTCCACATTGTGCCTACCTCTCCACAGCCCTTGCACGGGTAGAACTCATCCTGTTCCAAAGGAAAGTCCGGATAAGCTCCCTGATTATCCATCTTAAGATCCACCGTTCACCGCCCAAAATGAAAAATCGAATATAACTGTGAATCAAAGCGAATATATAACCCTGGCGGGAGGGGGGCACAGACTCAGTTCAGAATCGTGTGTACACGGGCGATTCGTGATCGCTAAGAAAGATCCCGCTCGCGAATCACATGCGCCGTTAAAGCTGGTTCCCTTGAAATAGATCTTGTTGAGCGTAACCCGCGTTGGAAGCCGGAATTGGGGAGATGGGAACGTCGTTGCAAGCTTGGAGGGGTGAGATGCAACAGGGGATTGAAAGAACGGCGAATGGTGGCTGAACCTGCAGACTACCGAACAGTTAAAAAAAACGTGATGCAATGCCAGATTTAAGCGTAAGACACCAGTCGTGCCAAATAAGCCCTGAACCAAGACAAGCAGGGTTGACCACGTATGGGGCGGGTCGGACCAGGATAGGGACGGCAGTTATTTGTCCATGAACCAGGGATCAAGGCTATCAAGCTCTAAACATACCGGACACTGCTAGCTGTGCGACAGATGTGTTTCAGGTAGATAATCGCGTGTGTGGTGACGTTAAGCGTAACGGGCGAAGCGAAACGGAGATTGCCCCTCGCGGGCGTTTGGATTTCGAGATTGGACAAATAGAGGAAGCCCCGAGGCGAAAAAAAAAGAGATCTGGGAGTAGAGACGATAATTAAAAAGAAAATGAAAAGAAGAAGTAATGAAACATGAGAGTTGAATTAGGGGGGGGAGGGATGAGAAAGGAGAGAGATGAAGTTGAACTTTTGGCTTTCTGCCGCAAAATGGCCTTCCCTACGTAACCTACGAATATCACATTTATTGATCTGATTTATTACCTACCAATACAATTTCCTTCTGCCTACAACATAGATTGTAGACATCTTCCCAATCTATTCCCGTCTACCTTAATGATACCGTGCTTTGACGCCCAGAGCGTGCGGACCTTTATTTCCCCATACAAATGACCAATGGGAATCTTGATGCCCCTGAATTTTGTCCAATCTGGTTTGATCTCCATCAAAATTATACGAACAAGGCGTGTTGCACTCCGTAATCTGAGATAGTATGGTACTCTCTCAACAATCTCAACCTAAAACAAAAAAGCTATCAGAGAAAGAGGCCTGAGCAATTTCTCAGCTGGTCCTCTTCGGATCTGAGCATTCCACTAAGGGTAGCCCCATTGTTCTGACCCCAGTACGGCTATTTAGTCTCAAACACTTCTTCCCACGCTTCTCACATACTATCTCTGGCAATTGGTCCTTCATTTTTTTCAGCCCTATGCATCCTGATTTCACAACAAGTCTGGAGAGCGGCTGAAGCCAATCTCGCCCATCTCGCACAACTCTACAAAGGACCACTTAGAGAGGTTAATGATAATTCCAAGCTGGATTGCAGTCTGGAGACAGCCAGTCTCAGTTTTAGTGCCTACATTACCCCTGATCCTCCATATCTCAGCTCAGACCTCCCACGCTGTTTGGAAATCGTGAGATGGGTTTTATCATGCAAGTCCATCAGATTCAAGGCGAGAGGCTTGACCTGTGGCTTACGCATAACAGCTATAGTTTGACTGGGCTGACTGAATGTTGGATGTTCAGCAATTCTCTGCTGTCCGAAAATGACACACTATGTAGTGTCAAGGCTACTATTCTGCTTTTTCTTTATACGGTCATTTGCATGGAGCATTTCTGAGCCGGCGCTCTACACTTTTGACTATTAATAGCCTAACGTGTCCCTTCAAACGCTGGAATTGGAGGAGATAAAGTGTCGATAATTCCCAATATAGAGCTTTGTCTCAGGGTGTGTCAGATCTATTTATTATTTTTTAGGAAGCGGTATGCTATCCTATCCCGGTCAAAAATACACACACACAAAAAACGGCCTCGCAAATGAAATACATGATAGGCGACAAATTGAATAGCATCATGAAGATCGGTGATTATTCCATACTAAGTAGTAGCCAATAATAAACTAGGTCCACTTATAATTATCAACCCATCTCGTACATGGATCTGGGATCTTTCCTCCATGAGAGGTATGATAATCATCCATAGACTCAATTTACGTGCCTGAAAGATAACTTCTGCATTAAGATCGATAGTCTATTTATGAACTGAATAGCACCATCCGAAATTAAAATCAAACCCGTTCACAATAGATGTACACCGCACTTGACTTACTTGCTAGATCGGGCGAATCGGTGCCAAGAGCTGGGCTTATACGAGACAGCCCATAACATCTTCTCTTCCTATGTTCTAGGTATTTTTCGATCTTGCAAATTCATACCTTAATTGAAATGCTTTGTGAGTGAAAATCCAGATCAACGCATTCGAGCGTCCGCACTGGATTAATTACGTGCAAGAATGGGCCCTTTGGGAAACAAGCAGTTCCGACCCCGATGATCCACAATCATACTACTGATGGATCTACAATATAGAATCCGTCACATGAAGTGCGACGATACTCTCCTAGCTTGTCGAAATTGCACGAGGACCGGTTAAAAATATGATGGCTATGCGCAGGTGCCTGATAAGACGACCCGTGTCAGGCGTAAAGCCGAGAAGCCCTATTCAGGCAATCGGACTACAACGTCTGGGCACAATATGAAGCTCCACACACCCCTTCAGTGAATATTATCGATCTTCTTGTCGGTCCAAGTCAGGCTCATCCGAACTGGTCCGAGCGCTGGCACTTGGATTACTCCTGTAAAGTACGGCAACCTGCATGCATGATTTTGAGGATCCATTGTGGAGTCAGCTAGTGGATCAAACGTGTGAAGAAAACCCTGCAGTCTTGCATGCAGCAAGCAGTAGCGATGGGTGCTCGACATCATCAATTGGAAAAGATGCAAACAAAACAAATCGAGGATTGAGGAAGTCTCTTGGCTCTTACCCATTCTTCTAAGGCGATAACCTGCCTTCGGGCTAATCTTGTCCGGAAACAGTCGAGGCGCACATTCATAAAGAAACCGTGCTCATGATCTCGGTTTTTCTGACGATGCTAGCTCTCTTCCAAGAAGAGCTCTTTTCTGGCCATTGCCATTTTCTATCTGGGTATAGGTTGTTTGAGGAACGGATGGCTGTCGACTACAAAAGAAACCCCTAATGGTCAAACTTTGAAGGAGCCTTTTTTGTTAGATTCTCAACATAAAGCTGACTATGGCCAGTAATCAATCACAAGCCCCTCGAGATGATAGATGATGAAATGTGGAGGTGCAACGTGCCGAAGTCGAAGGTCATGATGCGCGGATGACTCGATGATCAATTAGTGTCCTCAGATATCCGTCCTTTCCTGCATAATTCAAACTACAGAGAGCACTGCTGAGCATATCCGTGTATCTTAAGCTCTTGCAACCACTCACGATATTTCAAACAGTGCTCAAGTCGAGGCGAGGGCTGTTCGAGAGGAGGCGGAGGTCATGTTGAAGGCAACTGACCTCAAGTTGTTAGAAAAAAAGAAACAGATGATGATGCACTTTATTAATATTTCGTCTGCACGATGTCGAAAAATGTGATGTTCACTCGAAATGAAAGTATCCTTGCACATCGCCTCGGAGATCATTCGCCGCTCCCGCTTTCCCCCCACTTCCAGAAAATTACGAATCAGCGTTGCCCCTCGCACCTCATTTCTTCTTTCATCTCCTACTTTTTTCGTCATAACGTTTACCACAAAGACTCAATTCACTATGGGTGTCGAGAGAAAGATAATTACTCGTGGCAACGGCTCTGACACGCCTGCTTCGGGTGACAAGGTCTCTATCCACTATACGGGATGGATCTACGATGCTAAGAAGGCCAACAAGGGCTTCCAGGGCAAGCAGTAAGCTGACTGTCATATCTTGGATCCATTTAGCTTACGACTCGAGCATTCTCGATACTAATTATCCTTGGCAATAGATTTGATAGCTCCAGAACCCCCGGACGTGGGGTATTCAATGTTCAGATTGGTGTTGGACAGGTTATCAAGGGTATTCTATCCCATTCTCTCTTTTTTCATCTCAAATGAATGAATCAAATTTCAACTGATGAAATCAACTGTCAATTTACATGTCAAGCTGAATGCTAATGCTGTCTGTCTGTCTGATTAGGTTGGGATGAAGGTGTCATGCAGATGACCCTGGGAGAGAAGGCAATCTTGACCATTTCACCGTGAGTAAATTTGACATCGAACAAGAGGAGTTGGACCACTACTAACAAAATTTTCCAGGGACTATGGCTACGGTGACAAGTAAGTGAACACACCAGACATACGGGCGATTACCACACAGGCCGTGACATGCGTCTGTTGAAAGTGTTCCTAACACTCTTTTCCCACACAGGGCGGCTGGCAAGATTCCTGCAGGCTCTACTCTGATCTTGTAAGTTTCTGCAAGCCAAAACTAACATCTGGAAACTCACTATATTATAGTGAGGTCGAGCTCCTTAAGATCAACAACAAGAGCGCCTAAATTATAGATTGAATTAAGCAGACCGGACAAGCATCACATTATCAACTACTCCGTACACTCACCACAATTTGCCTGCCCACTTGGTCACTTTCCTACAGTACAAGCTAATCCTAACCTGATCTGGATTGCGATTCAATATAAAATGTTGGTAGGGGAAGCATACAGGTTAGATAGTATAGCTCTGTCAACCGTGGGCAACGCTCTCCCTAGCAATCAAGGATACCAGTGGTATGTCAAATGAATAATCGTCAAAAGTCGTTAAGATATCTATGTACAGATGCCACGTGCTCTACAGAACCAAAAAATCAGCCGAGCGAAGATGAACCACCTAGAGACGGTGTTGAACAGGTGACTCGGGCGCCGGGATCGGTACCGAGACATTTTCAGCAGGCTCATCCCAGCGCAAGAGACGAGCCATCTTGTGATAAGAGTCGATACCGCGGCGAGCGTGGTCAGCGGGAACAAATGGATCGGTCTCACCGAGAGTTCGGCTGAAGAGTTCAAGAGAAACCCAGCCGCGGTAGCCGAGATCTTCGAAGAAGACACGAGCAACATCCACAATTGGCAGATAGCCACCACGCGATTCCTCAAAGGGAAATAGACGGGCATTGCGGGACCAGTTCATGCGGACAGGCTGTCCAGAAACATGGAAAGGATGCTTTTCATCCAACGGTGCAGTAAGACGCTCACCGTCAACAAGCTGGACATAGAAGATCTTGGCAGGATCGATGTTGGCAGTGCGCAGACGCTGTAACGAAGCAGCCAAGTCCGCAGCCGCATTAGGTGTGCAACCTGAAGGAGCTGCAGGATCGGCATATACACGACCAGCAATGTTGAAGGAGTCAAGACAGAGACCAAAGTTGCGACGGTTCACATCACGGACCACCTCCCACGAGGCCTCCCAGGTATCAATATGATCGCCCCAGCAGAGAGCTTCATAAACAAACCGGAAGCCAGCACCGGCGCCCAAGTCGGCCAGGCGCTGGAGATCACGAACAATGACAGTGCGGTCGCCAGTAGTGCGGGCGGCACCGGTCTTGGGGTCTGGACCTAGGAAGTTTGAGGGAACCTGGATCATATCTGTGCCCAGCGCCCGCGCTAGGGTGAACCACTTAGGGAGCTTCTCATTAACAAGCCGGTCTGACTCGGCGCGGTCGATGAGGCCCTCGTACATGGAAAATGGCTGCAGGCAGATAATGGTCAGGCCCAGGCGCTTGCACATCCGCCGTATTGACCGCGCGGCTTCATGGTGATCGCCACCAAATACACGCTGCGCGTAACAATCCAGATCGTCGAAGAAGAGTTCGATGCCTTGGAAGCCGTGGTCTGCGGCTTGCATCAGCTTGCCGGGTAGGTCGTGCACCCAGGGCCGACCTAGGGACATCGAAGCGATGCCGGGGCGGTTGAAAGCCATAGCAAGTTGTGCAAAAGAGAATTTTTCTGAGCCGATATTATCTCAGAGGTGACCTTGTTGCAGGCTTTCTTTCAAGATCAAGTTTTCAAGCGGAGAGATATCAAGGGAGCGAGAATATCTTTTAAGGTGGATAACTAACGATATTAGGGTGTTTCTAGATTATCAACGGTCAGCAAAACGATTGCGAAAAACCATTATCCCCTACAGTGCCCTCTGCGATTGAACGTTTTCCCTAGTCTGCTGTGATTCGCGTCTTGATGACGAGGACGAACCTGATAGATCAGGTCACATGGCCGGGTAAATGCTTCCCCCTTTTCGTTTTCCCGCGAGTTCCACTTCCTCCCCACAACCACTCCACTGTTTCACCCACATTGTGGAGTTTTGCTTCCTCACTAGAAATGCTTTTCCCGTCCTTGGAAACGAAATATCCGTAGATACCCGGCAAGATTGTTACCACATGGATCTGAACATGGCCGGAGAATCAGCGCCGATATTTAATACTTAGAGCTCGAGGCAAAGACACACTCTCCACAACTAAAAGGCTAAAAGGCGCACAAATGCCAGGTTGAATTTCTACCGAAGCTATGCATGATACAATAAAGCATTGAATTAATGCAGTTCTTTCAGGACCAGATAGATTTTCGATCTCTATGTTGTACTGTTATTAATCCTAGTATTATACCCGTCAAAATTGCCACTATCGGCGCAGGCCTCAATGGCCCTCGTCATGCACAATCCGTAATATCGAGTCCCTCAACAGAGTTAATTGCTCTCGATAACCCAATGCCAACTGGCAAATAAACCGCCTCCAGCCTCAAAACCAAGTACTACCCCTCTGTGACTTCACTACTTGCATCCCCCACCGTCCCGCTGCAGCAATCGTCTGCACACCAAGCCACACGCACGTTCCAGTCGCAAAGGAGCTACTTGCAGGTGGGGTCCACGTGCTCCCCGAAAGGCCCGTGAGTGATGCACTGGAAACCGGCCGCTCGCTACTGGAGTTCGCCCAAGCCCCAGAGCGCGCTGTCCTCAAACTCCTAATAGGCCACCACTGCCGCTTCAATCCCTACGTGCGAACTACGAAGGCTGCCCTGGAAGCTGAATCTCTTGGTCTCCCTATTGCTAAATACGGTCTGTGGACCTTGTTCGAGCCGAATTCATACTTTGCCCCACCAACAGACTGGCGCGCATCGAACGAACGCAGTGGCGGCGTCATCCCCATTAGCTTGTCCATGATATCGACCTCATGCACCACTTCTTCGGTCCTGTTATGCGAGTGACAGCAAAGCGCACGTTACCATGGCGCCCAAGCTCACCTCACGATGCCAACGAAGGCGTCACCTTGATGCTACGCTTTGCATCGGGTGTTGTGGGTACGTTTCTGGTCTGTGATGCGACGCCGTCACCGCATAACCTTGAGGATGACACGGTCGAGAACCCGCTTATTCCGCAGTCGGTGACTGGCGGTAACTCGGGATTTTATCGCATCTTTGGCTCAGATGCTTCCCTTAGTGTACCGGACTTGACTCGCTGGAGTTATGATGCTGGCCCTGAGAGGAGCTGGAGTTCACCATTAACTGCTGAGTAGATTCCGCTTCCAGATGACATGGCGCCCTTTGATCTGCAGCTCGCGCAATTTATTCATATTATTAATTAGAACGTTATTAAGAAAGCCATGAGGTCAGGTCAGCCTGTGAAAATTGATGTTAACCTTCTGGTGAAGTCAAATAACTAGCTATTTACTGATATATCTACTGGATATAGTTAGGCGCATCCGTCTATTCGGTCTCTTTACGACATGTCGAAAATGAACGCGAAAAAGACGGATGAAAAAGACACAAGGGGCATATTCATTCATTTGCTTCTTTGTACTCGTTTAGCGATGTGTACATAAAGCAGGCAGCTCAAGTACACAAAGATCACAACTTCTGCAACTAGACCTCAACAGCGAGCTGGCGCATTATCCGACAAATCACACCACAACAAATTATGTGACCACAGCGCAAACTACACCAACACGGAAGGGTTCACCATCGCAATATTCAAGTATACTTTGGCTGAGCCGCAGTGTCCTCGACTTGCTCAGAGCGCACCTTGCCTAAGTCAATGCCAGCAGCCTCGACATCATGGCGGAACCGTTCTTCATCCTCACGCAGCTGGGCGACCATCTGCTGATGCGCACGCCACACGGGCTTGATGTCGAATAGCTGGTCCATGCTCTCAAGAGGAACACCTTTGGTTTCCGGGATAAGGAAGTACACGAAGAAGATAGAACATATCATCAATGATGCGAAGAAAAAGTATACACCGTATCCCATGGCTGTGAACATCTGCGGAGTGAAGCGCGAGATGAGGAAGTTCCAGAGCCAGTTGGAGGCGGCCGCGCAGGCCTGTGCAAGGGAACGCATGTTGGGATCGAACATTTCCTGCAAACTGGATCAGCACTTCTTCAAGGCTCGCAGATTGACTAGGCATTGAAGCAAAGTCACAATACCTGGAGGTTCTAATGTCCGGGGATGCTTACCGAGTTGAGGACCCATGGGGTACCGTTCCAAGTTGGGGTATAGAAGACTGTCCACAGGTAGAAGAAGAACATGGCTGCGATACCACCGCCGCTCAAGGAGCCACTTGTGTTCTTTTCGGGTTGGGCAATCTTGATGTATGCGCCAACAATCCACAAACATACGGAACCACCTGCTGCGCCAATTAACAACAGGTTACGGCGACCAACGTGATCAATTAGCCAGAGCAGCCAAATGAAAGTCACCACGGTCTTCACTACACCGAAGATTCCAGTAGTGAACAGACTCGTATTGGTACCCCTGACACCGATCTAGAAGCAGTTTTAGCATCAGCCACCAATGCACAATTGGATTACAACAGTATGCGACTTACCGATTTGAAGACAGTCGGACTGTAATAATTGATGGCATTGATACCAGATCCGTTCTGCCAGAAGAACAGCGCGCTTCCGAGAAACAGACGCCACATGACCTTCTTGTTGGTCCCAGCCGCCTTGAAGGGGTTCCAGAAACCAATGCCAATACTACGGCGCTGTTCCTCCAGGGCTTGGTCAATGGCACCAATTTCCTCAATCATGTAGATATCGTCCTCGGGCAATTGACGGATCCAACAAAGATTTTTGATTGCTTCCTCGCGGCGACCACGCCCAAAGAGCCAACGAGGTGACTCCCGAATGAAGTAGCCACCAATGAGCAAGAGGCCAGAAGGAATCAACTGAACAGCGAAAGGAATGAGCCATTGCTTGTGGCTAGGCTCCATGGTCTCGTCAATGCCGAACTGATCTTGTGAGCATCCACAAGACATAGCGTACACAAAATAGAAAGAAAACTCACGTTGATCCAAAATCCAACAAGCCCACCAATTTGCCAACCCAGCTCATACACACCGACCAATCTACCACGAATAGCCGGAGGAGACAATTCGGAGATGTAGATTGGGGTGATGTTAGAGCCTGCTCCGACACCGATACCAGCCAGAACTCGGCCACCGTACAGGAGGCCAAGTCCTCGGTCGCCATTAGCACCAAGCATGATACCAGCACCGATAGTAAAAACCAAGCCAGCAGCCAAGAGACCAATCCTACGACCCCAGAAGTGACCGATTGGATACGCGAAGAAGGCGCCGAAGAAGGCACCAGCTTGGTAGCAGGAGACGATGTTGGCACTAATCAGGTTCTTGGTAGGATCAGACATCTCGCCGAAGTGGAACTCGCTCTTGAAGGAGTCAAGTGATAGCGTAGTGCCAATAAAAGCGCTGTCATAGCCAATCATGCAGGATGTGCATGAAGCTACTGCTGCCAGGAGATAGATTCTCCAGTTGTAGACCACGCTCGGCGTCGGCCGGTCCTCTACCAGCTTCAGGATAGACATGCTGGTGGTTTGATATAGAAGAACAAGAAGAGGGGCAAAAGCTTCTATGGCCAGATGACCTTAACCCCCAATGCTAGATACGAAGAAGCAGTAAGATGTACGTCCTAAGACAGACGATCACCACGTATAAAGGTATATATGAGATATAGAAGCGGGTGTAAGGGGGAAATGAGAAAAGTCAACCAAAATGAAAGTCCAGACCACGTTTTTTGAAACAGATCACCGAGGGCAGACAAGATCTAAATAGGATTTAGGTCCGGACTGTCAATTTGCCTTTGCAAAAAGAGAGGAGAGAATCCGGGGTTTGAAAAGGGGGAAGAAATCATGGGGATGCGGAGTCGGAGAAAGCTATAGCGCAGGGTAGTCAAAATTTCGTGCCAAAAAGTAAAGAAAGCCAAGACGCGGCAAAACGAATACTCGAAGTTCTTCAGTGCGCGTGAGGACAATTGCCTTTGTCGCCCCTTGGCACCTCTAATGTGGCTTGCAAGAAGGACAAAATTGACTCAGAGGGATACGCAAACTCTGTTGACCTATCAGCCAAGTCTGCACGCTGAGATTATTCGCTTAAGGCGTTCGTTTTGTGGGGATCCGATACCGCTTGGAGAAGTGGAGACTTCCCCAGCGTGTGTCAGCCAGATTTATCTGGGGTACCCCAGAGGCAATGTAGTGCACGATCCAGCCTTTGTGAAATAGCGAAAGGTCATTTATTCTGATTGGATAAATTGAAATGGACCCATAAATAGGTGAGGGGGGGCGGAAGCGGCCAATGATCAATTACTAGACTGGGGGGTAGCGGGGAAAAGCCTTTCCCCGGAAGCTCAGGGAGATGCGCGGATACCAACTACGAAGTTTTCGTTGATAACTGTCTAATTTGGTCTTAATTAATTCCCCAATCATCATTATCTGATACCCGTGGTCTTTCTTTGGATCCGATAGTGTTCCCCACGTACCATGGGAAATTCCCCGTGGGGTAGTCATAGGGTTAAGTGGGAAATTGTTCAGCCCGGCAGATGTTCTGTAGTGGTGCTGAGTCAACAATGAAGCATGTATTTACAGCCAAGCCAATGATCATCTTGTCAAATTGTGTCGACTAAACTGACCAAAACTTTATGGAAACAAAACAACTTCATCCAATACTATAGAAGTGTGATCGGCGGAAGAGCAGAGTGTTCCTTTGCCCGCCAGCTCTTCGCCTGTCTGTAGGCTGGGATGGTTGCGCTTCCAGTAGCTGATTCAACGTAGTATACTAGTTTTTCTCAATTTCGGGAAAATGCACATCAGGGTCTGCTCTTTGCTGTTGTATGAAGAGGGTAGTAACTGGCCAATCTAATCAGATGACTCTTCCATTTTGAATTGATTTGAACATGCTCCCAAGAAAAGACTAAATTTGCACTATGATCGAAGCTGATGAGCCTATGGATAAAATGCACATGTCAAGCAACTTCTGTCCACTCAATCAGACTTGCCTTTCGTCCTGTTTTGTAAGATAAGTCGGGTTTTTATTTCGTGCTACCTCGATACTTGTCGGGTAGGGCTAACACTCAGTAGTGAGTCTGTGGACAAAATTTTGATACTTTATGCATCAACTCTGGAATTATGCGGCTTTGGAGAATAGCGGCCATGAAATGTCAAGTCTGCCCATAGGTCAGAAGGAGGGATGTGGTCAGGGTCCGTTATCTATGGATTCAAAATCGGAGAAAAGCAAGTTCTAAGTCGATCACAGTGAGTTAAACTTAAGGTCATGAATTCGTTTCCTCGTCATTTTCAGGACCTGCCCTAAAGCGATTGATGTTAGCTATGGCTTAAGTTGCCTAGCGGTCAACATGAGGATAGCCGCGATTTGAAGCTGTACGACGTAGTCCGAGGCTTCTTCCTTCGTTCTATTGCTTCGGCCTACAATGGTTAAGTAATTGTGAGTCTAGAATTGCTAGAGTTGCCTCTTGATCAAATTCGGAATTCAGCGCAAAATAGATGTTTTGCTTCGGTTCAACCTTTCCCCGGACTGAAAAATGGAGTTGGCCTGGTTTTCGTAAAAGCGGCGGCAACTACTTCTGGAAAAAGGAAAGCCCCACCCGGCAGAGGGAATATCCCAGGGCACCTCCCACGTATGGTGAGGTTAAGTATTTTCCGTCTGAATTTCGAATTTCATCTTATAACATTGTAGTCCCTCCCTCTTTAAGATCTGCATATCCGACCAGACTAATAGACTCAATTCATCATGTCCGTCACAGAAATTGACCAAACGCCACCAGAAGAGCCCATCGCCATCCCCTCCAACCGCGATGGCGTCGCCTATCTGTACGGCCACCCCCTTCTGAACTCGCTCTCTCCACCTCTACACCAGACAGTCTACAATGCACTCGGTCTCAACTGGACCCAAATTCCCCTATCCAGCGTGTCCGGCACATCAGAAACATATCCTCCCCCCTACACACGGTCGCCGCCGATTGAGAAATATCTGGAATCGATCAAGTCCAACTCCAAGTTCGTCGGCTCTTCCGTGACAATGCCTCACAAGGTTGCAATCATGCCATACCTAGATGATCTCACCGAGCACGCCCGCCAAGCCGGCGCCTGCAACACCATCTTTATGCGCGACGACCCAACAACTGGTGAGCGCCAATATGTCGGCACCAATACCGACTGCGACGGTATCCGGGAAGCCCTCACACAAAACGCCCCTGATCCATCACGCTTCCGCGGCCGGCCGGCGCTCATCATTGGTGGTGGCGGCACTGCCCGCACTGCCATCTATGTTATGCGCCGCTGGCTGGGTTCCAGCCGCATCTACATCGTCAACCGCGACGCCGCCGAGGTTGCCGCTATTCTCGAGGAAGACCGTCGCCGTAACCCCGATCCCAACGCTCAGGCTCCTCTTATCCCCGTCACCGACCCTGTCGAGGCTGCCCGTCTCGAGTCCCCCGCAGCCATCGTCTCCGGTATCCCAAACTACCCCCCGAAGTCTCCCGAGGAGCTGCGCGCTCGCGCTATCATTCAGGCTTTCTTGGGCACGGCTACCGATGCAGATAAGCAGGAGGGTGTCATCTTGGAGATGTGCTACCACCCCACACCCTGGACTGAGATCGCTCACCTGGCTTCTGCCGGTGGATGGAAGGTCATCCTCGGCTCTGAGGCTCTGATCTGGCAGGGTCTCGAGCAGGCTCGTCTTTGGACTGGAAAGGATGTCATTGGTACACCAGGCCTTGTGCAGGAGGTTAAGGACCTTGTTGCTAAGACCATTGCGGAACGGGGATCTGCGAAATCTACCCTGTGATTTTCTTTTTTTTTTTTTTGTACGATCATGTTTCGGTTTTAAATCATTGTATAGAGCGCAAAGTAGTCGCTAGTGGCATTGTTTATTTACAAATGGATGGCGTATCTGATTATGAAATGCAAGTCACTCTGGATCTACTATAAGGTCATTGTCCAAATCTGAACATGTCACCAAACGTCACGGTATAAGATTCACTCAGGTCGTCGTGAAGCTATTCAAGCTCCAGGGCGTGAGTAGTCCAGGGTACGGACTCGGCGCCAGACTTCGCGTACTGTCCGCTCTTGCGTTTCTCGGCCTGTTTCGGTGGTAGATGGGCCGGCGGGTCTGGAAAATCATCAGCAAGATCCAACATTAGGAGAACAAGTTGGACTCACCTAATCGCCAAATACAATCTGCTACCGAGTCGGACATCCTCGATTGGCGCCGTATCCACATCATCTGGGGGGTTAGCAGTAGTCATAAGTCCGCCAGCCTCCAAAAGAATAGCGGCACCCGCAGCAATGTCCCTATGATGGTCAGCAACAGCATACCAACTCTCCAGGAGATGGAACAAAGAGGCAAAACTCACCACTCCCAACAACCTCCCTCCCACCAAATATCAAAGGATCCCATGGCAACATACGCCAGATCGAGCGTTGCACTGCCCAAACTGCGCACACCATGCACCATACCACCTTTGCCATTCCGACTTCCCACCTCTGCGGCCATGTTTACAAAACTCTCAATTTTGCGCTGCATGTTTCCGTCTGGAATATCACGACGGTCTTTACCCCATTCGCAAGAAAACACACACTGCGAAGGGGCATTGGCGGGCATTGGCGGGGTTGGGTTGTGGATGAGCGGAAGGCGGCGAGTCTCGTTTAGCCAGGCCCCGCGCCCGCTGCAGGAGGACCAGAGCTGATCTGTGAATGGGGCGTATATTACACCAATTATAGGCTTGTGTTGAACGATGAAGCCGATTGAAACACAGAACATGGGGAAAATATGCGTGTAATTAACGGTTCCTAGGGGTGAGGTTATTAGTTGAGTGCCTTGAGATGCCGCTTTGGATCCGTGAACACTCCAACTAGTCAGGGCACTGGAAGTTCTACCTTACCATCTAACGGGTCGATGCACCATGTTGGTTGCTCGTCAATGAGGTAGTCGCGCGACTGGCCTTTGGCATATGCCTCCTCGCCGAGGAATCTGGGGCTCTATTAGCTTTGTTGCCGCTCGGTTTCAATGGGAGTTAGTAATGAAAGTACTCACTTGTGAGAGGGGTATCTGGTCTCAAGAGCGCTTCGAATAAATACTTCAACGTCTGCCAAGTAAAAGTGTCAGCGACAGTGTCTGATATGGCTCATCAGCTGCGCCTTACCCTCGTCCGTCTGCGTCACAATGTCTACTGCATTTTCCTTCTCCTCAAAGGTATTCGAGGAGCCACTGGCACCTGAGATACGCTGGTCGACACGCTCCATAAGCAGCTTGCCCGCCTTGCGACCCAGGTCTACTGCAAAGGCGTACATCTCATCCAGCTCATCTTGGGAGAAGGGCCCGATAGCCATGGTGGAACGGGTGAGTAGGGATGTGTATATGCAAGAGATATATCCCAATGTGTTAATTAAAGGAAATCTTCCAAGCCTGAAGGGAAATTGTGCTCCTTTTGAATCATCCGGTGAAACTGGAGGTTCAAAATAACCGCCACTAGCCGGGAGTTTCCAAGTTCCTTCTCGAGATGTTTCCCCACTTTGTGGAGACTTAACAGGTTCAAGGGCGTAAAGGACATAAGAGTTCCACCCTCTTTACAGCCTTATAATGTCTCTTTGATGAATCTGTCTAATGGGGTTTTTTTTGGTAGATATTTCACTCCCGTTCTTAGTTTCGTAGAGAGACCGCAGAAGATGATGGGGAAATCCACAATTGATGAAATGGGCTTTTCTACCTACAACCAGGGACATAAAACTAGGGGAATAGGATACTTATACTTCTCATCGGCCTTGATAGTGTTGCCTAGCTTGACTTGCAACGAACAAAGCTGCTTTATATGGTAGAAGTCATGCGAGCATGGCATCATTTATGCCCTTGTTAGAGAGTAATTTAAATCAACTTTTCTATGCATGTTATCAACATGATTTAAGTGTGCGGTTGAGGATTCTTGCGTTCAGAATTTGGCCATCGAGAATTGTTAACATTTTTTTTATGATAGAAGATGTGCAGAGTGTGAACTGGCACACTGGCAGCAATCGACTGCCGCGTCCTTTCTGTTGCAGGAGATGACCAAAAGGATGCATTGTTCTCCTGGCTACGGAACTAAAACCATGAAGGTCAGGGTATAGAGGGATGTGGACACATGTAAATTCCGAAGGTCAAAATGGGCACGCGATAATCAATATCACGGCCCTTCCAAGTGGAGGCCTCGGCAACACTTTCAGTCTCCGACCACCGGCACAGCCGTGAATCAACCCGCAGGGGTCACGGTGCCCGCCGACCTGCCCTCCTGTAATGCCGCGCCTGAAAATTCCGCCTGGCATAGATCTAGCAATGTCACCACTGACTGCAGTTGGTCATAATTCATGAGAGCAGATGGCAATATTCAAGTCGGCTGTCCGTCCATTTGCTGTAACCTGTCTTGTATGGTTTCATGATCATTATTTCCTTCATCGTCTTTATACTCTTGAAGCACAATGCTCCGCATGACGCGCCGGGGAGCGCGGCGGCCAGTGAACAGTTCAAACTGAGCAAACCCTTGCTCTGGCAGAACATCAAGGCCATCCAGGGCTACCCAACCACGATGGGATAGAGCTCGTGTTTGTTTCATGAGAGGGGTATTGAGGGGCTTGTATGCCAACTAAAAACATTGATTAGGAATAAAGCGTCAACATTCGAAGCTGCTAGAGAAGATCAATGTAAACTTACATCAATAACAACACCCCCTGTAGGGCTTTCTAGCCATTCTGCTGGAATACGGAAGTTGGGCGCTAGCTCGCCGCCAATGCTATGGGCCGGAATTCCCGAGACAACAATCGTCGGCTGTTTGAAGTCTGCAGGCCAAGGGTCGAATAGGGAAGCAATAATGCGAACCGTGGGACGGCCGGACCCGCCGGCCTCCTTTGAGTGGAGATCTTGTCGGTTGTAGTGATGGGCCAGTCTCTCCGCATTGGCGAGTGTACGGTTGTAGACAAAAATATTTTGCACGCCAAGATGAATCATGGAGTAGATTGCAGCGCGGGCCATCCCACCAGATCCAATGACAAGGCCCGTAGATGAAGAGCGAATCGCATTTGCCGGAGACAAACCGCGGCGAATGCAATTGCAAATTCCGATCCAATCAGTATTATCACCGTGGAGGCCCTTGATAGGGCCGGCACGGCTCTTCTGGAGAAATATTGAAGATTCTTGAAGGCGAATGTCATCCATGTCATCAAGATTGCGAATTGGGATGAGGGTATTGACGGCACCGATGGCTCGGGCATGCGCAGACATTGAGTGCAGCAAAGGGATACACTCTGTTTTGTACGGAAGACTGACACTTGATCCACCGAAGTATGGATTTTCCACAAGGTCATTTAACCCTCGCAGAGTAGGTGATTGGTGAATGGAATATTTGTGCGGCAAACCACAAATCTTGAAAGCAGTGTTGTGCATCGCGGGCGACATACTATATGTTGTGTTGGCCCCAAAGACAAAGAATTGCATCGGGTCCAAGGCAAATGAGCTATAAAGTGCGTTCTGCAATTCGCGAGCTGTAATACATGATCGTAGGTGAGTTGGAAGTTCCGTTACTAACGACGGGTGTGTGACTGGGGAAAGGATAGGGTTAAAACATCGAGACATGCGACCAAGAGGGCCGGTATTATAGGCGATTAGAGAAAGACCAGGAACAGGGAGGCCCCGGATGCGATGGCGAAATCTCTGCACCGCGAGGTTGTCTTCAGGTGTCTCAGCTGGTTGGCACAGTCGAATTATATCGCATCCAAGGCTTTTGGCCCGCTCATAAACTTTCATATACTCATCACCATCCCAGCCCCCCGGCAAAGGATGGAAGGCTTCAAAGT